GCTCCCCGTCCCTGCTTGGGTTGGGAAGCCACAGCGCGCTGATGCCTATGATGCTCGCTGGCCCGCCTGTACCGGAAAGGACCTGGCCGACTGATGCCCATGATGCTCGCTTGCCCGCTTGCCCTTGAAAGCTCCCTGTGCCGGAAAGGTCACGCCCACTGATGCCCATGATGCTGGAAAGGCCCCATCTCTGCTGGAGAGGCGATGCTCGCTTGCCCGCCTGCCCCCGGAAAGCTCCCCCCTGTGCCGGAAAGGTCACGTCCACTGATGCCCATGATGCTGGAAAGGCCCCGTCTCTGCTGGAGAGGCCCTGCCCCAATGATGCTCATGATGCTCCCCGTCCCTGCTTGGCTTGGGAAGCCACAGCGCACTGATGCCCATGATGCTCGCTTGCCCGCCTGCACCGGAAAGGACCTGGCCGACTGATGCCCATGATGCTCGCTTGCCCGCCTGCCCTTGAAAGATCCCCCTTGTGCCGGAAAGGTCACGCCCACTGATGCCCATGATGCTGGAAAGGCCCCATCTCTGCTGGAGAGGCCCTGCCCCAATGATGCTAGTGATGCTCCCTGTCCCTGCTTGGCTTGGGAAGCCACAGCGCACTGATGCCCATGATGCTCGCTTGCCCGCCTGCGCCGGACCGGGAAAAAGCCTTGAGTGGCCCAGGTCTTCGTGGCTAAAGGCTGGCCTCCAATATGCAGAGCAGGCCACGCGCACCTTTGCTTAGGCACTGCTCAGCTTCTGCTGTAGCGTGTCATGTTCAGGAGCCCTAAACCCTAAAACCTAAACCCTAAACCCTAACCCTAAACCCTAAACCCTAAACCCCAAACCACCAGTTCACAGCTGACCTGTCAGTCCACCAGCTGCGTAGCCGCTACCTCGCGGCAAGGGCAGCTGCCAGGGGCCCCAACACAAGGGTTGGGAGACTGATTCAGAATCAGTATAGGGTTTAGGGTTCAGGGTTTAGGGTTTAGGGTTTAGGAGTGTAAGCCATCCTATCAACCCTAAGCTTGGGGAGGGGGAGGGGAGAGGGCGCCTACCTGGGTTTTGTCCTTGAGGTATCTGGGGATGCGAGCTGTGAAATTTGGTGACAAGAGTAGTGATTTCTCTGCTGGCTTCTTGTGCTTTTTTGAAGCCACCAGCGCAGATGCGCACACCTCTTGCTGTCCATAACCCTAAACCCTTAAACCCTAAACCCCAAACCCTAAACCCTTTGGTCTTCACTACTTATGATCCCGGAGGTGGCCTTTGCTGCGTCAAGCTGCAGCCCAAAGAGGCTGCAGCCAGCGGGCTCTAAGAAATCATGGAACGGGCATGTCACCGCACAGGAGCTGACGGGTCGCTGTGGGAATCGACGGGTCGCTGTGGGAATCGACGGCCCCCTTAGGATCTTAGCTGCGAGTTGGGGTTGGGGTCGAGAGCAGCTCAGTAGGATCCCGCGATTGGAGGTACACGAAGCCTCACTACTGACATGTAAAACCTAAACCCTAAAACGCTCCAAGTTCATGTTGGTTTGGAGAGGGCAAGCAAGAAGTGGCAAAACCAGACGGAATCCAGCTCGATCCTGGCCATGCTGACCGCCACCCCCGGTCGCGCGTACCTTCGGCTGCATACATCTAGGGCAGGGTTTGGGGTTTGGGGTTTGGGGTATGGGGTTGGGGGGTTGCGAGGTTGGGGGTTTGGGGTTTGGGTTTAGGGTTTACACGGAGGACCCCCAGAGGACTCTCTACCGCAGGCCCCACAGCTTGATGTACCCAAAGAACAGAAGCCCTAAATACCCTATAACCCTAAACCAATAAGCCCTAACAGGGAGTCAGCCTTGAGAGACAGCAGTGTGAAAGCAAGACCGATAACCAGATTAAGATGACGAGAGCGGGCCTGCTCCACGAACAGACAAGAAGGGGAGAGAATGGGGCTGAACGGAACGGGCCGAGGCGAAGCCATGAAACAGCAGAGTGGGGCGTGCCGACGTGCACAGTGGAGAGAGTGCCGGGAAGTCCTCGGGGAAAGAGTCGCAAATGGGCTCGTTGAGTTGTGGACTCATCCTGTGATTCACCCGAAGCTTGCCATGTTGGGGCAAGGGGGCAATGGAGTGGGTGCTATCGTTTACTATCGCTGTGTCTTCTTCATATGGGAGGGAATTTTCTGCCTATTGCAGCCCACCAAACAAAGTGAGCGTCGATGAATAGCTGACGATGTGTCACTGATGAGGACTTCTGATCCGAAGTCGTGCCTGCCTTGTGCGAGTTTCAGAGTGGAAACCCTTTTAAACCCTAAACCCTAAACCCTAAATCCTTATGATGTGCTGGTTCACAGTGCAGTCGCTCTCAGTTGCTCAGACTCAGAGACAGCGCCGAGTAACCCTACCCTAACCCTAAACCCTAAACCCCAAACCCCAGACCCCAAACCCCAAACCCTAAACCCTAAACCCTAAACCCTAAACCCTAAACCCTAAACCCTAAACCCTAAACCCTAAACCCTAAACGCTAAACGCTAAACGCTAAACCCTAAACCCTAAACCCTAAACCCTAAACCCAGCCCGAGGTTCCCCCTTTGCGGCTCCTTACGGCCGCCGCGTCCTCGCGCCCTCTCGCTGCCAAGGGGGCTGCCTAAACGTCCAAAGGCCTTCGGCGTTTAGGGTTTAGGGTTTAGGGTTTAGGGTTTAGGGTTTAGGGTTTAGGGTTTAGGGTTTAGGATTAATTTTTGTGTGGTGGGAAGCCTTGAGGGTGTAAGCAGGGCCGAGCATTGGCCTTTTGTGGCCGAACTTGCCCTACCTATGGGGTACGAATTTTGAAGCAATAAGGCGCAAGCTTATGCTTGACTATACAATGATGGTTGTAAGAGTCCTGGGCAGTTTTAGTAGGTTAATAAGTACCATGAGTCCAGGCTCTAAATCAAGTAGTTCGGTATACCCAGACTTGGTACTTGATCATCCGCCGCAAGCTCCCAAACTACCAGATGGATTCTGACAGACCCGACGCCGTAAACCCTAAACCCTAAACCCTAAACCCTAAACCCTAAACCCTAAACCCTAAACCCTAAACCCTGAACCCTGAACCCTGAACCCTGAACCCTGAACCCTGAACCCTAAACCCTAAACCCTAAACCCTAATCCTAAACCCTAGTACAGACCTGGGGTTGGTAGATTGTGTTGGGTAGGAGGCCCCTATGCGCTGAGGGGCCGAGCAGAGATGCCAGGAAGCCCTTAACCTACACCCCAGTAAGGGTTTGGGGTTTAGGGTTTAGGGCTTAGGGCTTAGGGCTTAGGGCTTAGGGCTTAGGGCTTAGGGCTTAGGGCTTAGGGCTTAGGGCTTAGGGCTTAGGGCTTAGGGTTCTGGGTTTAGGGTTTAGGGGTAGGTCTTCCGTAAGCCCTAAACCCCTCTGTGGTTTTCGGATTCCCCCACGTGTCGTGCCGGGGTTTGCGTTGCAAGGGCTACTACGAGCTTGGGTTTCAGGGCTCCAGCTGCAAGAGGTGGCGAGCCGCAATGCCGCAGAGGAAGCAGCCAAGGCAACGGCCAAGGCGGAAAAAATGAGGGCGGGGAGGGGAAGGGCAGGAATGCTGTCGAGTCACTGGTCATTCACGATCTTGTCGATTGCACTCGCTGCTTTGTTGGGTTTAGGGTTTAGGGTTTAGGGTTCAGGGACAAAAAGGCCAGCTGCAGCTCTGACAGGTGCCCAGGAGCTTGGCTGGCGACACTCCGGCGCCATTGGGCGACTTTGCAGGTGTTTGTTTTAAGGGGATTCCCTAGATGTGGTGCCCTTCATGCCCTACTTCTGAGGCCCCCGGTGGAGAAGGAATTTCAACAACGAACCACTATAACAACCCCTAACCCTAACCCCCCCCATTTTAGTGCATTTGGCCTGTGGGTTTTGTTTCTTTGAACCTTGGGCCTAAGGCTCAGGGTTCAGGGCGAGGGTTTACGTCAGGATGAGAGGACGGACTAGACTCAACAGGCCCGTCAGTTTGCACCATCCCCCGCAAAACCCCTTCCCGCACTGCGGCGACATCTTCGCACTTCCCGTTTTGGGGAGAGAGTCTTGGGGGTTTGAAATATGGGCATGGTGAGTTTGAGTTGGGTAGTCGAGATCTTGGTTTCCGGCATACCAGTGCAGAGACCGGGCGTTCACGAGTCTATTTGCAGGCGGACCTTTGCCTAGACCAGTGCTGGGTGTTGGGTGTCAGCCTCGTCATGTTAGGCGTGCCTAGACCCTACTGAGGGCTTGAGCCATGCAGCCTGAGCCAAGGCAGCGTCTGGGCGCTTCTCCTGGACTTGGAGTCTTGGCAGACGTGTTCTTTTGTTGACAGAATCACAGCATGCCTGCCTACTACAAACAACGCACAGAATTGACTGCAGTCGCCACGTTGGTGTTGCTGAGAACCTCGGGTATATGTCGGGGAGCAGCGTCTCCGCATCTACATCGAGACAGCCCATCGGTGTTGACGACGTTGGTGTCTGGATGGGTTCATACTGCATGGTAGACCCTAAATCCTAAACCCTGAACCCTGCTAGGCAGGTGGCAAAAAAGCAACCTAAACCCTAAACTCGAAAGCGTAGGAGCCTCGTGGCTCGTCTGCTTGGCGGCTTGCAACAACAGAACGCGTCAGAGCAACGCCCACACCGTCCTGCACCCTCGAGAACGGAGGCTGATGCCCGCTGCTGGGCGTTGTTGGCTGTGGGCTTGATGGTGGCGACATGTCTGCGCTAGTGATGTGTGGGCTTGCAGGATGCACAAACCCTAAACCCTAAACCCTAAACCCTAAACCCTAAACCCTAAACCCTAAACCCTAAACCCTAAACCCTAAACCGTGATCGGGTAGGAATGCACGTGGAGCCTCACACTGGCAGAGATATTCTCGGCCCTCGTGGTTGAAATCTGGGCTCAAGCCATTTGCAAACTCGCACCTGACCTGCGAGAGGTCATTGCCTCCGTGTTCTTGGCTTCATTTCAAGAAAGCGACTCGGCACCCGTCCTGTTTCGCTGTACAGTTCCTCCTCGGCGCCATGGAAGAGGCAAGCAGACTCCTGTCCACGATCGACCTTGATGAGTTCACCATTAAGGCCACGATCTGATATGGGGGGGGGGGCCTCATGAAGGGCATGTCGGTCCCAAATGCCATAAGTCTTATTGCTTACATCGATGGGAACCCTGGAGATGGCATCCTTCAACTTCGGAAACCCCTGTCCGCTACAAAACCGCTTTAGGCTAGACAGGTGTTGTTAAAAATCCACATCTGCACTCCCACGCAGACACAGGCACTTGTCATAGCATGGAAACACATTCATTGCCCTGTTAACCCTACCAACCCGTCAGCCCTATCAACCCTATCAACCCTGACCCATCGGCAAAAGAGGCCTGAGACCCAGTCCACCAACCGGCCCTTCTAACACACGAAACCCCTGAACCCTAAACCCTAAACCCTAAACCCTATGGAGGAAGTGCAGAATGGCTGGGAGACCACCGAGAAGCGCCTGGGAGGACCGAAGGCTGCTGGCGAGGAGGTGTTTGGGAAGCTGAAGGCTGAACCCTGGGGCGAAATTTCAGCAAGGCTTTGGGGGTTTCGGGTTTAGGGTTTGGGGTTTGGGGTTTGGGGTTTAGGGGGACGCTTGGCGAGTGTCTTCAGCTGCTGGAGGACAGAGCATCCAGGCGTATACCCGACAAGCCTGTTGCAAGAAGGTTTAGGATTTAGGGTTTAGGGTTTAGGGCTCGGGTTTTGAGTGGTGCTGGGCGACTCCTAGAGGGAGCCCACAGACCGTTAAGAAAGGGACCCGCCTTCTAGCCCCTACTGGACTTAAGAATCAAGGGTTTAGGGTTTAGGGTTTAGGGTTTAGGGTTTAGGGTTGGGGTGCAGCGGCAATCAGAAACCACACCAACCGGGTGGGTGGGGGGGAATTTTGGTAGGCATCCAGGCCCCCGTATCAGCTGCTGAATCACTCAAGGATCCCAACCATGCACAACATCCCAGGGTGCTATTTCGGGAACTCAGCCCCCAACCGTCATTTCAGCCATTTCAAATTGTTGTCACTGGTGAAATCATACCGGAGACTTGGTTGGCGCCTATCTCTAACTTGCGCTAGCTTAAAGTTTGGCAGGGTGTCGGTGTCGGCCTCTGTTACCTCTTTCCTGGTTGAGTCGCTGCAGACCGGATGCAAAAAGGGTTTAGAGTTTAGGGTTAGGGCTACCCGAAACCACCCCAAAAAGCCCCACATGAAAGGAAATACCACGGACTGGGGGCATGCTGAAGCGATCCAGCACGGTGTGGCATCTCTTGACCGAGTTGCTGCACTGCCTTGGCCAGCCACTTGCCTTGGGGTTTATAGGGTTTAGGGTCTAGGGTCTAGGGTTTAGGGTTTAGGGTCTAGGGTCTAGGGTTTAGGGTTTAGGGTTTAGAATCAAGTTGGGCAGAGGTTTCTTGTACGTGCGCAGCGTACTTTGCCATAAAAGTCCTAAAACCCTAGGTACAAGCCTTAATGAGCTAACCTTCTTAAGTACCCCCCCAAACCCAAAACCCTAGGTATGGGCTTTTTGGGCTAAGCCCTAAACCCTAAAGGCCAAACGTGGTCCAGAAGAAGCTGGAGTACATCGCCCTACGCCACATGAACGCGGATATCACAACGGCTGACGTCGAGGCAAAGTTTCTTCTTGATATGGGTTTATGTCTTAGGAGTTAAGGGTTCAGGGTTTAGGGTTTAGGGCTAGGGTTTAGGGAACAGGGTTTAGGGTTTACTCTGGGCATGTCACCTTGCGCCTGCGTCATGTCCTTTGGGTGACCTGAAGCCATGTGCCCTCGCAAACGCCCAGGTGTTCCGCAACATCCTGTTTGAAGTGTGTGCCTCAAAGCTTGGTGGCCTCATGACTCCAGAGTTTCAATTTGGCCTTGGCCAGATCGTGGTGTCCGTGGGCACCTCGTTGGCCAAGACCCATGAGCACTACGCGAAGCGGTTGAAGCTGCTGACGACCTGCTGGAAGGAAGTGAATGCCACCGAGGAAGATGAGGCCGAGGACCACCACGCCGAACAGGAAGGGAAGGAAGCCACGGAAGGTGAGGAGGGTGAGGGCGAGAAAGCCAAGGAAAAGGATGCGGAGAAGCTTACTTCTATACCCAGTAGCTGAACGTTATAAGCTTTCTTGGGTTTCCTGTTATTTTCTGGGAATCATAAAGTTTTGCCATGTTTTCCCCCTTGGTTATTGGAGAAGGAAGGATGGGAATGCGCAGAAGCAGGCCGGGGGCCAGGGTGAAAGTGCGAACGCAGAGAAGGGCGACCAGGAGGGCGAGGAACGGCATGGAGCGTGGAAGGACACCTCCCAAGACCTTCTTAAACCCCCAACCCCAAACCCTAAACCCCCAAACCCTGAACCCTAAACCCTAAACCCTACACCTGGAGCATGGAAGGACAACGACAACCTGAACATCCCCAAGACCTTCGCAGCCATGGCCCGTTTCAACGCCGCTGTCATGGGCACGGGAGACCGCATGTGGCGCCTTGGGTGGAGGAACAGCTTGAACGGTTTAGGGTTTAGGGTTTAGGGTTTAGGGTTTAGGGTTTAGGGTTTAGGGTTTAGGGTTTAGGGTTTAGGGGAGTAAGGGAAACTAGGGAAGTTGGGGAAATTAGGGAAACTAGGGTTCATCTGGTCCCATGTAGACCGTCGAGTGGGGATTGTAGAGTAGTAGAGTGGGTATATGATCCCACTGTACAGGGTTCGTTTGGTCTCATAGAAGCCTTTTGATTTCGGATTCTGGAGTATAGTACATGTACCTTCATAGGGTTGAACGTCGTTAGTCATTAATAGTATACTTGGGTCTAATACATGCTAGTCACTGTAAACCTTAAAGCCTAAACCTTAAACCCTAAACCCTAAACCCTAAACCCTAAACCCTACTTATAAGCCCTGGCAACCCTTGGGTGCCCCTTGTTAAGGTTTGCTGATATGCTCTACGCCATGGAGTCTTTGGTTCCCTACATTGGCAACATCGACCGTGTACAAGAAGACTGCGACGCTTGTGCTGGGTTTAGGGTTTAGGGTTTAGCGTTTAGGGTTTAGGGTTTAGGGTTTACGGTTGAGGGTTGAGGGTTGAGGGTTCGGGTGTTTAGGGGTTAGGGTTTAGCGCGGGCCTCAGTCCCGCCATGAAGTAGTTTCCAGGTTCTGACAAGGGCTTAGGGTTGAGGGGCCAAGGGTTTAGAGTTAGTGGGGGAAGTCGATGTCCCTACTATGAACCAGCAAGGATGTGCTGATGCTGACCTTGGCAAAGTATGACAAGGTCAACCTCAAGGAGTTCCGCTCTGTCATGTTTCTTTGTTGCGGTTTAGGGTTTAGGGTTTCGGGTTTAGGGTTTAGGGTTTAGGGTTTAGGGTGCTCAGGAACTTGAACGCAGTGACGAAAGTTACGATCAGGAAGCTGAAGTCTACTTCATGTATCCCTATTATTTGGTTCACCCTAAACCCTAAACCCTAAACCCTAAGCCCTAAGCCCTAAGCCCTAAGCCCTAAGCCCTAAACCTCCCTATGGCACAAAAAGCGGCAACAAAAAGCAAGGTTTGCCAGCCTGAGATCACTGCTGCCCACCACCTGGAGCTCAGACCACGAGAATGCCTGGGCCTGGTTCTGGGGCATTGTGGAGAAGCTTGGCTTTAGGGTTGTAGGGTTGTAGGGTTTAGGGTAAAAAGGGTTATAGGGTTATAGGGTTCAGGGTTTAGGGTCATATGAGTCATAGGGTTGTAGGGTTGTAGGGTTATAGGGTTGTAGGGTTATAGGGTTGTAGGGTTATAGGGTTATAGGGTTGTAGGGTTGTAGGGTTATAGGGTTATAGGGTTACAGGTTTTAGGGTTTTAGGGTTTAGGGTTAACGGGCTTTTGGGGCTAGGGGTTTAGGCCTTAGGGTTGTAGGGTCATAGGGTTGTAGGGTTCAGGAGTTTAGGGTTTAGGGTGAACGTGGGGGCAATGCCGGAACAGGCAAAATCCAATTTTTGGGAGTTGTCTAGGTTTTTTTGGGCTTTTGAGTTTTTAGGGGCTTTTGGATTTTAGGTTTTTTTTTTTTTGGGGGGGGGGGGAGGGTTAACGGGTTTTAGGCATGAAGTTGCCCAGTGCTTTCCTTTTGCCCTTCAGGTTCAGGGTGTAACCCTAAACCTTTTTTAAAAGCCCCTTCTATGCAAGTTCCCAAAGCTAGCCGGGCTGCCAAGGAAAAAGGTCGAGGAGAACAAGCACATGCCCATCCACAACCACCAGTGCCTTCTCGATGGGTTGGTGGTCTCTTTGAGAAGGGATTCTGTTTTACAGGGGCATATTTTCGGGGTTCTTATTAGGGTATCAAGGGGCTATACTAGGGTATTCACAACCACCGAATCTTTGCGGAGGGTTGATGGTGACAAAAAGAGGCCAAGCATGGGGGATTGTGGTGGAATTAGGGTTTAGTGTTTAGGGTTTAGGGTGATCCCCTAAACCCCCTCAATGCCCAGGTGCCTCCGGACGTTTCTTGCTGGCATGGACGAGGTGGGGGGTTTAGGGTACCTCTTTAGGGTCCTTCTTCGAAGGGGGATCCTGCTATTTGGGGGGTCTATCTTCCGGCGGGTCCCCTTTCTATCCCTGAACCCTAAACCCTAAACCCTAAACCCTAAACCCTAAGCCCCCAGGTCACCTTGGAAGACTTCAAGCTCAAGGTCTTCGACACCTTCTTTGCCACGACCGAGGAGTCGCAGCTCTATCTTCGCGCGGCCAACAAGCGCCTGATGTACCTTGGTTTAGGGTTTAGGGTTTAGGGTTTAGGGTTTAGGGTTTAGGGTTTAGGGACCAGATTTGGCCTGGTGACTAGGACCGGGAGTAGGCCCTTTTTTCTTTTTTTTAGGCTTGGGGTTCCCTTACAAGCCCCTTAACACCAAAAAGGGTACCCTTTTTCATTCCTAGGCTACTCCCGGGTCTAGTTGTGGTGCTTTACTGCAACCTTAGATCCTTAGCCTTTTTGGGTTCAGGGTTTAGGGTTTAGGGTTCAGGGTTTAGGGTTTAGGTTTTAATTTATAGCTACCCTCCTAAGTGCAGCCAAGGTACATCATGGGAAGGATCTTAACCATCATGTCCGACATCTACACCAAGACCCACCAGGCGAAGCCCCAAACCCTAAACCCTGGCCCTAAACCCTAAGCCCTAAGCTCTAAACCCTAAGCCCCCAAGCCTTGCCTGCGCGTGCGCGAGTCGTGAGAGTCGAAGCTCGAAACCCTAAACCCCAAACCCCAATCCCTAATCCCTTATAAACCCTAAACCCCAAACCCCAAACCCCAAACCCTAAACCCTAAACCCTAACCCTAAACCCCAAACCCAGGCGGTGATCGCACTGTCGGCCCTGGGCCTGCTGCACGCCGGGCATGGCGTCCCGGAGGATTTGGTGCGCCCTTTCGTCCAGGCATTCATGGGAGGCATCAAGAGCCATGGTAGCCCAGTGGTACCTTTGTTCAGTTCTCTTTTTCAGGGTTTAGGGTTTAGGGTTTGGGGTTTGGGGTTTAGGGTTTGCTGCATTCCCTCCCAGCCCAGGTTTGGGGTTTAGGGTTTCCGAAGTGCGGTGGTGCCTCCCTTCTACAGTAGCCAACCCAAAAACGGTGCGCCCTTATCATACTGTGGTTCCTGGGCTACCAAGGAACAACTGCCCGGACGAGTCTTTGCATGACGGGCTGTGGTGGACACTGGACCTGATCGGCAGGATCTTCATCCGAACCTTGGCGGAGGGCTCCACACCAGTCACTCTATCTTTTTTTGGAATTGTTTTTGTTTAGGGTTTAGGGTTTAGGGTTCAGGGTTGTTTAAATAAACCCCAAGAGATATTTGTTTGTTTTTTAAGGTTCTTAGGGGGAGCACAGGTCATCATCGCCATCAACAGGAACACGTCCAAGGCGATGCAACTGGCCGTGGCGAGTGCGCCGCGAGGTGAGCGCGAGGTGATCCTGCTTAAGGTGCCTTGGTAGCCCAGTGGTACCCTTTACCCTTTTTTTTGTTTAGGGTTTAGGGTTTAGGGTTTAGGGTTTAGGGTTTAGGGTTTAGGGTTTAGGGTTTAGGGTTTAGGGGGTCCCATAATGAAACAACCAACCCCCAAAAAGGGTGCCCGTTCTGTAATTTTGTAATATATGGCTGCTGGGGTACCAAGGTGCAGGTCGGCACCGAATCCATGTCTCCTTTGATCTGGGCCGTGGAGAACCTTGGGGACGTAATGTGAACGGTTCACATGACCCCAAATTGGGGTCATATTTCCCTGACTACTAATATATATATATATATATACATATATATATATATGTATATATTTTCCCATTCAGGTAAATGAACCATCAAACCCTTTAAGGGCCACTATAAACTTAGTCGCCAAGGAACGGATCCAGGTAACTGAACCATCAAGCCTTTTTACGGTTCATGTCGTCACCAAGGAAGGGTGCTTTGGAGTCCGCCAAGGCGATCCTGGACGATTTGCTGACGATGCGGGCAGACCGAGCGCGGTAGCTTGGGGACGAAATGAACCCTACAAGGGTTTAGGGTTCATACGACCTGAATAGGAATTGTAGTAGCCCTAAACCCTAAACCCTAAACCCTAAACCCGTTTAGAGTTCATTTCGGCCCCAAGGTATTACTTTGGAATGGAGGCTCTGTGGAACCGCCATCCAGACATCATCAGCTTGCTCTGTACCAAGGCGCCATCACTTCTCTCAACGTGGCCCTGGTGCACTTGAGCGCCAGTGTCGATTTGCTTGTGGATGCTTAAGCCGTAGACCCTAAACCCTAAACCCCAAACCCTAAACCCTGCTGCTAGGCTAAGAGCAGCCGAGGCTTTTTGATGGCCTTATCTGGCGGTCCAAGAACGTCAAGAATGGTACCTTGGGGACTAAATGAGCCCTAAAAGGGTTTATGGTTCATAGACCTCAATCGGAAAATATAATCGTGAAGGGTAGATGAGCCCCCCCATGTGTAGGTCTCATTTGGTCCCTAAGGTATGCGCCGCGCGAACTACTACATCGCTTCCATGATCGTGGACGAAAACGGAAACCTTACCGACTCGCTTCTCGGGATGTGCTTCAGGATGTACATAGCAATATGCGGAAAATAAGTAAACCCATGTATATACATATTAAATATATATATATATACACAAGGTTATAAAAAATATTTGTAAGACAAGCTGCGGATGAGCATGTCATGCAGTACAATGTAAGCATGTTCAAAAGTTACAAGTTATTACGAGGCTGCTGGACTTGATCAAGCAGGGAGACCCCGAGATCATTTGCCACCCGGCGGTAGTCTTCCAGGCCGATCAGGGTTTAGGGTTTATGGTTTAGGGTTTAGGGCGTTTTAGGGTTTAGGGTTTAGGGTTTCGTCTTCCAGGCCGATCTGCTTTGGACCCGGCTCTGCTGCATACCCTGGGCCATGACGAAGGTGGGGGGCCCAGAAATTATATAAAAAAAGCAGACCCCGACGCCTCGTCTGAAACCTTTTACCCTTGGGGACGACATGAACGCTAAAATTGGGGGTCCTATACCCTGCACTACTATAATTCCTTTGAAGGTGTGAGAACCATAAACCTTTTAGGGTTCATTTCGTCCTGGCCCAACAGAGCAGGTTGCCCATACGAATTGCCCCCCGCCAGTCATGCATCAACAGAACTTCGGAACCCCAAAGCCTTCCACGAAGCCATAACCCGGTCAGTATGTAAGGCTCCCACAACATCAGTTGGCTTTATGAGGACCCAAATGACCCTAAAATTGGGGGTCATATACCCTGTACTACCATAATTCCTATTAAGGCAAAATGAGCCCGAAGCCCTTTTAGACCCAAGTGACCGACCCTAGCGATCAGGTCTGGTTCTGCGCAACTCTCGTGTTGTACATCATGGCAGAGCAGCAAGCCCCTTGGGGACTAATTATGAAGCCTACAAGGGTTGATGGTTCCTATGACCTTAGTAGGAACTATAGTAGCCCTAAACCCCAAACCCTCAACCCTAAACCCGAAACCCTTTTAGCGTTCATATTTCGTCCCCAAGGCCATCTTCCAGACCGACCCGATGAGCACTGATCGCTTCACCGTGGTGGCTTGCAGGGTTCTCTTGTACGTCTGCAGTCTCGGCCAACTCACCGCCAAGCATGGATTCCAGACCTGGAGGGCCATCCGCCAGAAGCAGATGACCCGCTTTTGGTGCCTGCCGGTGCCCAAGTACGTGCTGCAGACGCGCCAGGAGCTGATAGAGGTCATCCTCCTGCTGATGTTGATGCTAGGTAGGCCCTGTTTACATTTTTTCCCTTCTTGGGTTTCAGGAGGGTAGCCAAAAAGGCTCTTATAGAAGTGATTATGGGGTTTTTTGGGGCCCAGCCCATCCTGGAAGTTTAGGAATATTTTCACAGGGCCTTGAGAATGCCTGAGTTTAAGAGGCTCATCTAGGAATATTCTGTCAGAGGGTCTTAAGGCCTTCCTAACCCTAAACCCTGAACCCTAAAATGGCCATCGCAAGGATGTGCCTTCTGTGCATCGAGCCCTTCCTCCACTGCCTCGCAGTGAGCAGCGAACTCCTCATCGATTGCTGCGAGTTCCTTGGGGGCCCTAAAAGGGTAATTAGGGTTTAGGGTTTAGGGTTTAGGGTTTGAACCCAAAAAGGGTTTTGGGTTCATATTGCCTTAGTAGGAAATATAGTAGTAAAGGGTAGATGACCCCAATTTCGGGTTCATATGTCGTCCGCCAGGTTTGGGGAATGGCAATGCAACCTCACAAGGACCTACAACCGCCTGGCGGCTTTCCCGATGCTCCTCTACTTCGCCCCTTAGCAGCTGCGTGAGCACACTTTACACCTTTTGGGATACTATACCCGGAAAGTGTACACCTTTTTGGGGCTTATGAACTCAGCAACCTCAACCCTAAACCCTAAGCCCTAAGCCCTAAGCCCCAAACCCTTAGGTCCTGGCTTCCGAGCTGGTTCACCTCAACGTCCACCTCTCCGTCTTCAGCGTCATCTGCTCGAGCCTGATGTGGGAGTTCCTTCTCTATGTGGCAGTCCCTTGGGGACGACATGACCCCTAAAAGGGTTTATGGTTCACATTACCTTCATAGGAATTCAAGGTAGTTCCCCCTAAAAGGAATTAAGGTTTGTTCCCCAAGCTTACATTGGGGCCATAGACCCTATGCTACTATAATTCCTACTAGTGTAGATGAGCCAGAAGCCCTTTTAGGGTTCATATTTTGTTCCCCAAGGTCCTCATCTTTTTCACCGCAGCGTTCGCTTCGGCGGTGGCCTGCCTACCTGCAGGCTTGGGTCTTGGCTCGATTCAGATGCTTGGTAGCAGCCCAGTGGTACCCTTTTCCTTTCTTTTGGGTTCAAGGTTCCCTTCTAAAGTAACCCTAAACCCTAAACCCGAAACCCGAAACCCGAAACCCGAGACCCTAAATAAATGTGGTTACTGGGCTGCCAAGGATGCGCGACTTCTTCAGCTGGCCCTTGGCGTTTGAGTCCATGCTGTCCATGGCCTTCAACGTCTACGGCGGCAACAACTATGAAGAGATCCTTGGGGTTTAGGGTTTAGGGTTTAGGGTTGCGGGTTTAGGGTTTAGGGTTTAGGGTTTAGGGGACGGGTCATATACCCTCTACTACTCTAATTCCTACTAAGGTACTATGAATGAACCATAAGCCCTTTTAGGGTTCATAACTCGTCCCCAAGGATCGCGCAGTCCGATGAGCCCATGCTCAAGTGGTTTGTCCCTTGGAGGACGAAATACGAACCCTAAAAATTGGGGTCATCTTGCCCTTTACTACGATATTTCCTACTAACGCAATATGAACCTATAAACCCTTTTAGCGTCATCTAGCCTCTACTACTATAATTCCTATGAAGGCAATTATATGAACCCTAAGCCGTTTTGGGGTTCACATGTCGTCCCCAAGGTCATGGCCTTTGCTGCTTGCTGGCATGTGTATCTGATGAACTTAATGGTGGCTCAGCTGTGCCAGCGCTACAACGAGATCTTTCACGACGCGCGGGGAAACGCTCGACTGACACGCGGCATCAACATCTACGAGACGTCCATGCCCTTGATCTCAAAGAAGCGGTGGAAGGCCTTCGTGGACTCGTTGCATCTCACGCTTTCAAGCAGGGCAAGCTTTTGTCTTCTAGAAGGGCCGCGTGCTATTTTTGCATGACAAGTTATGTCTGTTTCTCTGATAGCGCCCAAGCTGAAAAAACCCCATGACCCTGAGCCCTAAACCGAAATCCTGAACACCATTGCAGAGCATGTGCCAAAATGGTGTTCAGAGTTTAAGGCAAAGAGGTTATTCACACCCTAGGGCATGGAAAAAACCCAAAAAACACGTGCGCAGGGTGGTCCTAGGTTCAGCCTCTTTCTGAATAAGTTCTAAGCTCCAGACAACAACCCCCCCAAGTCCCAAAACCTCATAACTCTGACGGTCTACCCCTTTCCCTCTCTCTCCCTGTCACTCTCTGTCTCTCTCAAGAGTGGTTGTCAAAATTATTGTCCCTTTTTGGACCCCTATGATAATACGGCACCGAATATTTAGGGTACCCCAAAAGGGATCATAATGTTGACAACCACCCACAAGGCATCTGGATGAGGCTTGCGAGTTAGACGAGGGCGACAATGGTCCACGCGGCGCGGTCCCGACAACCGAGGATCCCTACGACTACCTCCAGTACCCCAAGGTGACCCTAGCTCCTGGGGCTGCCATACCTTGGGGTTCCCCTGATTTTTCCCATGATGATGATGTTTGAGTGGGGTTTTGGGGGGTTGTTCCTTTGGGGTTTACGAGGGTTTGTGGGGGGTATTGGGGGACACAGAAGTTCCCAGGGGGACTGAGGATGAAAGAGAAGCTGACACACTGCAAAAGCACGGAGCAACTGCTGCAGTTCTTCATTTCTCGTCGTGCATGTGCCTCTGTGTGTGTGTGTGTACTTGCGCGAGCGCGTGTGTGTGAGCGTGCGTGTGTGCTGCTGGCTTGTTCCAGTTTTTATCCCAGCGCATCGCTGGCCATCGTGCTTATTTGTTGTTTAGCTTGCCGAGCGGGTGCGCACGAAGGCGTCGCGTATACGCGTTCCCTTATGTTCTGTTGCTACATTGTAGTGTGAGTCTTTTGTTTTGCCCCAATCTAGTGCTTGACCTTCATTGGTCTCTAGGAAGCATGCTAAACCGGGGTTGGGGCATCTCTTTCCATTGCTGTACTCCAAATGGACCCTTTCCGAAGCTCATGCCTTCGGCAGCTTGATTCTAAACCCTAAACCCCCAGAAGGCAGCCGATGGGTTCTTATCCCATGAAACCAGGCCGAAGATGCCCAGTTTTGTACTTATCTTCCCCTCCCCCCCCCCCCCCCCACACCTACGCAAGTTGCCGGGACCGCCGAGATACACCCCCTAAACCCTAAACCCTAAACCCCCCCGCACCCGCGGCCCAGGATCGCGTCCAGCGCTATGGTGGCCTCGCCAACCCCGCCTTGCCCTGGCCATCGCTGGACGAAGCCGTCGATGACAGCGCCGTCGGGAAGCTGACGCGGATGACGCAGCAGAAGTTCGAGGAGATCTGGGGGTTGGGGGGGGGGGGGCGTAATATAGGGGCTCAATGAGAAGAGGGTTCCCTGAAGTCCCCCAAGCTAAATAAACCCTAAACCCTAAACCCTAAACCCTAAACCCTAAACCCCCCTGAAGTCCCCCCTTAAGCCCCCCCAGGAGATGGACCGGCTCATGGTGGACATGGCGATCAAGCTCCAAGTCCGCTCGGCAGCCTCCGCCGGAGGCACGGACAAGTTTTCCGCCCTGCACGCCCCTCCGGCTGCTCTTGGAGGGGAGGGTCTTTAGGGTTTGGGGTTTAGGGTTTAGGGTTTATTGGGTTTAGGGGTGGGAGGTTAGGCCGAAACAATTTTTGCACCAGCTGTTTGTTTTTTGGGGGGGTTCAGGGTGTTCAGGGACGAGGGGACTTTTTGGCGAATCGAGGGTTCCTTCTCACAAATCCAAAAACCCCAAACAGGGTTTAGAGTTCACTGATCCCTTGGGGACGACATGAACCCTAAAATTGGGGCCATATACCCTATACTACTATAATTCCTATTCAGGTCATATGAAACCCCAAACCCTTTTTAGGTCTGATTTAGTCCCCAAGGTCTCGAAACCCTAAGCCCTAAACCCTAAACCCCTAAACCCCAAATTCCCCGGTCAGGTTTCTAGGGTTCCAGGGGTTTGCATCGGCCAAGGGATCTCAGCAAGTGGATGCCAGCAAGCAAGACCACGGCGATCACGAGCATCCGGATCCTTGTGGACGAAGTGAGGGTTTAGGGTTTAGGGTTCAGGGTTCAGGGTTTAGGGTTTAGAGACCTTTGAGACAAAGTAATCCCTAAAAGGGTTTTTATGGTGCATGTTACCTTAAATGAGAATTATAGTAGTCAGGGTATATGACCCCAAAAAAGGGTTTGTGGTTCATATACCTCAATAGGAATGAGAGCAGTCAGGGTACATGACCCTAGAAAGGGTTTATGGTTCGTATGAACTTGGCAGGAACGAACAGTCGTCAGGGTATATGAACCCTAAACCCTAAACCCTAAACCCTAAACCCTAAACCCCCACTTTTAGGGTTCATTTCCTCTCCCAAGGAGCATGAGGGGACCGCGAAGGAAAGCCTTGACGAAGAGGTGAACTTGAACGAGAAGACCGAGAAGCCACGTCTCTGTTCAGTCGCGTTGAAGTTGCGGGTCGTCTAAAGAAAGTAACATAGGAGTCGGAATAAAGTCTAGTGACATTCGCCCATGGTCCCTATAGTTTTTAAATGAATAACTACAATAAGCCACTTTACTCAGGAACGAACTCGTGGAGGAGCGCACAGAGGAGGGAGAACCCTTGGCCGACACCCCCTACGGGGTCAGCAGCCGCGGCCCGAGCCCTTCCGCTGTGCAGATGTGAACGCTCCTCACGATCGCTTCTGCTGCGATTCGAGGAGCCCTAGGGTTTAGGGTTTAGGGTTTAGGGTTTAGGGTTTAGGGGGTTTAGGGAGGGAGCTTCGTAAGCTGCAGCTCTACTGGGAACCAGGGATTCGCAGGGCTCCTATTTTACCAAATACCCGAGAAACTGTTTGACTTTGATTCGCGGGGGCTGGTGCTGAGAAGGGATGTCATCCAGAACTGGCTTAAGGATTCGATGCTGCTTGGTTGTTGTATTGCTACCAGCATGGGCTGTTGGGCCTTACAATCCCCTAACCAACCCTATAAAGGGCCGTTTTAAGGGGTCATAGGGTATAATAGCCCAAGTAAGGAGGGAGGGGTTCTTGCCTGCTTAACGACATCAGCTGCCCAGCGAACGGCATCGACTCGTTCAGAGTCGGTCTTAATTGGGTCTTAATTGGAGACTTTCCGAAGGCTGCCGCCGCTCAGCAACAGCTCGCCAAAGCCATGTAGTTTAGGGTTTAGGGTTTAGGGTTTAAGGTGTAGGGTTAATCAGCTTTAAGGTGTTTCACGGTGTTTCATACATGCAAGACGGCTTCTGTCTATTTTTTTGTATGTCCTTGTGCGGAGCTGCAGGGCCAACCTGATTTTTCAAGACTTGTTGCTTGGCATGCGACCATTTCAATGCCACTGTTTGAATACTTGGCGAATTCCGCCTTCTTTAAGGTTTCAATTTCAAGCGTTCCGCTGACCTTTCCTCCTGCAGTCCTGGTGAGCCGCTTCTAGAAGAAGCAGGCAGCCACGAGATTGTGCAGAATTTGCTGCGTCAAGGGCCACGGACTACCTGCCATTCCAGGCAGTGTGTGTGTGGAGCTTAGCACTGAGATTTCAAGAGCACCTCACCAGTCAGAGAGCTGCGTAAAGATGCCCGATGCATGCGATCTGCGGCCATAGAGGTGGAGGATGCGGGAGGCCAGGGCATTTAGGGTTTAGGGTTTAGGGTTTAGGGTTTAGGGTTTAGGGTTTAGGGTTTAGGGTGACCCTGTCCCCAGCCGCCCCAGGCCCCAAATGCGGAGTGCGCGGCCCCCACAAGCTGGTGACAAGTAAAGCCTGGCTTGAGTTTAGGGTTCCCAGGGATTCCTGGACCCTGCCCTAAACCCGAAAACCCTCTAAACTTTGAAATTAACGCCCTAAACTCTATAAACCCTGAAATGAAACCCCTCAAACATCATAAACCTTATGAGCCCTAATTCTTCACCCCATAAACCTAGAAACCCTAAACCCGAAACCCGAAACCCTAAACCCTAAACCCTAAACCCTAAACCCTAAACCATTCATCCTCAGGTCGGCTCCAGCAAGACACTTGGCTTCTTGGCGCCTTTCGCTCTGAAACGCGCGGTGGACCTCCTGAGCCGACAGGCCGTGCTTGAAGGGCTTTTGAGGGTTTAGGGTTTAGGGTTTAGGGTTTAGGCCAGTGGCAAAAGGGAAAGGGCTGTTGAGGGGTTTAGGGTTTAGGGCTTGTAAGGGGTTTCGGGGGGTTAGAGGGTTTAGGGGGTTTAGGGGGTTGAGGGGGTTGAGGGGGTTTAGGGTCCTCAGTCCGTGCTTGAAAAAGGGGGTTTAGGGTTTAAGGGGGTTTGGGGGGGGGGGGGGGGGGGGGGTTTAGGCGGTTTTAGGGATTTAGGAATTAAGGGGCTTTAGAGACTGAACTGAATGGTGAGGCATGTTTATTAAGCCGCTGCACGAGATGTAAGAAGCCTCATTTTGAGGACATGCCTCGCATTTAGGGATAACTACCTACATGGGCGATTATACCCGACAACCCCTTAAAAAGACCCTTTATAGGGTTGGTTAGGGGATTATGGGGCCTAAAAGACCATGAGATTGTCTTTCCTCGGGACCACATGAACCCTAAATTGGGGTCACATACCCCAAAACTATTCTATAGTTCCTATTCAGGTATATGAACCCTAAGCCCTAGACCCTTCTAAGGTAATTGGTCCTCTAGGTTGTTGAGCCACCCTAAACCCTAAACCCTAAACCCTAAACCCTAAAATGGAACTTGAAGGACCTGTTGGGCCTCTCCTGGCTGGCCATCTTCGCAGCTCTCAAAGGCCGAGCCGTCGCTGGCTGTTTTTTTAGGGTTTAGGGTTTAGGGTTTAGGGTTTCGGGTTTAGGGTTTAGGGCTTCGCGGGGGCGAGCTCAGTCCTTGGGGCACGAAATGAACCCGAAAATTTGGGTCACACACCCTATGCTACTATAATTCCTATTCAGGCTATGTGAACCATAAACCCTTTTCACACACCTTACTATAGTATCTGTTAAGGCTATGTGAACCATAAACCCTTTTAGGGTTCATAATTCGTCCCCAGGGCTGGTCACAAGGTTGTCTGTGCACATGATTGTCGGCTCACAGACGCGTAAGGCGTAAGACGTGGATTCGGCGCAAATGCGCGAAGGACGTGCGTGTGTGCAACGTCATGCTAACTCGATCTTATACCGCGCTCCATGGCGTCAACGGCTTCAGTGGCGTCGCAGAAGCCTCGGCAACAGCGCCATTAACCAATTCACGCACCCACATGTAGATGCTGTCGAGGGTCTCTCGTTTGGCTGGTCGCCCACATGACACGACATCCACAGCAAACCTCCAACAGGCTTTTACCAGCCCTGTCTTTCCGAAGCTGCTGCGTGTTTTCATTGAGTTGGGGGTTTTGGAGACCCTAAACCCTAAATCCTAAATTGGAGGCTTTGAGCCTTTGAGCCTGACTACCTGCCATGTGGTCAGGCATGACGCAGGCGCTGAACAACAGCAAGACCCTTGGGGACGAACTCTGAACCCTAAAAGGGTTTAAGGGTTTAGGGTTTAGGGTTTATGGTTCATACAGCCTGAAGAGGAATTATAGTAGTGAAGGGCAAATGACCCCCATTTTTAGGTTTCATGTGGTCCCCAAGGACAGCCGTCCTGTCCTTCATTGCGCGCCCCATGGGGAGGCCTGGGGTCAAGACCCGCGCTCATGACGTCTCTGGAGGGCTTAGTTTAGGGTTTAGGGTTTAGGGTTTACACCCTGAACCCCAAAAGCCCAAGGCAACCACCCTCTTCTTGAACCCCGGGGTTAGATTGGGCGCCTACGTGCATCATTGCCTGCGAAGAACCAGCACGATGAACGATGCTGTTGCAGAGAGTGCTGGCAAAGAACCCTAAACCCTTCACCTCAAACAGCCTGCACAAGAGGCGCCTCGCGGGACGCCTCTTTGCGAAGCTCCTGTGCCTAGACCTACAGCTGCTAGCCTGCACACTTCATCTTGCTGTTTGCAGGGCTTTGCATATTCAGGGCTCCAGGTCCTTGCTGAACAGGACTACTTGTAAACCTCCAAAACAGTATGCAAAACAAGAATGAGTTATTGACAGCTTGCATTCCCAGAAGCGCGAGGAAGCAGCGTTTAGGAGTTGAGGTCTTGGGCATTGGGATGATGCAGGTCGGGAAGTTCAATCCAGTCTGGTTCTGCACCAATCTTGCTAGGCCTCTGAAAGGCCAGGGCCGGAAAGCAATAATATAGTAGGGGCCGGAAGAATTACTTACATCATTCCCTTATGCCTCCTGTATAGATGACATGCTATATTGGCCCCCAAAAACCCTGATCTACTTTTTTAGTTCATGTAGTCCCAAAAGGTTAGGGTAACAAAGGAACCCAACAGGTCCCAACCTCTCCGTTGAGCCCCCATTGCAGGTTCCTAAACCCGAAACCCCAAACCCTAAACCCTAAACCCCTCCCTTGAGCCCCCCAAATTGCAGGTTCCATGCCATGCGCCGCACGGGCGAAATCCTGCGCAAGCTGGAGCGCCCACCCCGCGCGGTTCCGGGGCAGCAGAATTTGTGTGCTTCAACCCTAAACCCTAAACCCTAAACCCTAAACCCTAGCTTCAAGTTAGGTGTTTGAATGGTCAACCGAGCAGAATCTATAGGCCTTATAGGGTCAGAGGGTGGTGGCAGAGGCCCGCCTTCAGTGCTAGCTAATTCGTTTCAATTGAGTTGCGGGGAGCGGATTTGCAAAGTAGCCCCAGAATGTTCCAATGGTCGGTACGGATGCACCCTCCAACCCTACCAAAAAAACCCAAAACCCTACTTTTTTGTATGTTGCGCAAGAATTCTGTAAGGGATGTCATTATGATAACCTACAAAAAAGTAGGTTTTGGGTTCATAAGGTAAGCCTAAGCTCTAAACCCACATGCCTCTGCACGAACGAATCCATGTGGCCAGTTGTTTGGGAGGGGCTACCAGGGTCGGAGTTCGCTTCGTGCAATCGGCGCCTTACGCATAAGAGTACCTGACAAGAAACTACCATGTGCTTAAGACCACCACTTTAGAACCCCCAAGTGAAAATAAAAAACCTTAATAAGAAGGATTTTGTTGGGGGGGGGGGGGGGGGGGGGGGGGGGCGTTCTTCGGCAAATAGTAGCAAACCTAGCACGAAACGGAATCGCACACTTTGAGGGCCCTTAGGTGGGCTAAGCAGCACAAGCTGTAAACAACAAACCTACCTCCACACACCTAAGACCCGCCAAAACCCTAGGCCAAAAACACCCAAACCGCTGGGGTTTTAGGGTATGGGGTTTAGGGCTCTGGTGTAGCCAAGGTCGACACACTGCTGCGAGCCCTGCTCTTCACGCTCCTCCCGATCTTCTATGACACTTGGCATTTGGAGTTTCGCTCAATGTGTAGTTTTGCTGGGTTTGAAGAAGTAACAGCTCGAGGCTACAAGGTTCAGGAGTTCTTTCGAATACATATGCATGTACATGTACGTTTATGCCTGTATTCTCGGGGTACGGTACCCCAACGGGGAGTGTAGGTTACAGAACTAGCAACGTCCGGGCTGATCTACACGTACTGAATGGTCTACCCTCATGGTGTTTAGGATTTAGGGTGTAGGGTTTAGGGTTTAGGGTGTAGGGTTTAGGGTTTAGGGTTTAGGATTTAGGGTGCAGGGTTGCTGATTGCCAGGCACGTAGAGCCCTGGAGCAAAAGGGCATTAGGGTTTAGGGTTTAGCGTTTCAGTGATGCTTCTGCTCCAGTGAGGGCACCTGAGAGAGCCCGGGTTCAAAAAAAGGTTTAGCGCGCTACCAGGCCCCATGATTTTAATCACCCCCTCCCCCCCCATTTCGCAGGCTCATGTTCTGAAGCTAAGAAGTGCAGAAGAGCTTCGTAGCATGTTCAGCGCTATGGGTGTGCTTGCACTCATCTCCTTGACACCAAAACCGTCTATTGGTGAATATTGGTGGCAAACCCCAAAACAGGCCTCAGAAGCCCTTTTCAGACCTCATATAACTTGTTGGTTTCGGTGCCTTCCTTGTACTCATTTATGAAGCCAAGAGACGCCTTGGATTGTAACAGGGGCCCGAATGCGTCTCAAGGACTGCTCTACCCCTGAACCGAGGAACCCCTACTCCATGTACACGAATGCTTCTTCTGCACGCATTTGCCTCCTTCACGTGCAAACTACGTGCGCGAAACAGTGGGAATATCATATACGTCCATGCTTCCACAGCGCTGTGTAATCATGTGCTCGTGGGTAGACTGAACAGACAGTTCGACATTCTTGCCATTCAATCTTTTGACAATCTGCTTCACGGCTCACGCTCACAAGTAGAATCAGTTGTCCTTCTACTAGGCGCTACATGCTCCGGTGAAGCTGTTCGATGTTAAAACGTTAGCTAGAATCATTCTAACAGTTTCTACTTGAATCTCACGCTCGCATTTGAAAGTTCAGTTTTTACAAAACTACCGGCCATACTGGACTTAGCCACAGGGTAGTTTGTGAGCCCTCGCTCTTCGCTACTCAATCTTGCACTAATCACCACACAGGGATCCCAATCTGATTTGCGGGATATTCTGTGCTTAACAGAGCTTCCCACAATCCAAGAAATGTTCCGCATGTTTTTTGGGCATACCCTCAAAAGAAATTAGAGGGCATGATAGAATCCTCCCTTAGATTCCCTTATATTCTCCTTTGAAAGGTAAAGGGGTATGGGTTTGGGGTATGGTGAATTGTTCTTAGACACAAGCGTGGCTCCCTCAGCCAGGAGCTCGTGGTCGTTTTCTTCCTCCTGCTCTCTCGTGCAGGCTGGGTGCTAAAAGGTTCTTGGTCAAGCCTACGCCCGAAACCGTCATAGCGTCGTTCAGTCTGCTAGGCAGGTGGTCCTAAACCCTAAACCCTAAACCCTCGACCCTAAACCCTAAACCCTCACCCCTGACCAGGTTCCTGGAAGGATAGTGTCAGTTTTTTCCCTCAACCCTCAACCCTGAGCTTGCCCAGCGGTCCGTCCAGCGCCGCGGGTGGTACATAATTGTTTAACCTTGGCTTTCTTCTGGCTGGCTCTTAGGACTTTATACCTTTTTGGGTTTTTGTAGAAACTACAGTAAAGGGGCATAAAGGTTAAACATTTAGGAGGGGTTCAGAAGTCAGCCAAGTAACAACCGCTGAAGTCGAAACCCCAAGATTAGGTCCTGGAAGGATCGGGCTACCCTTAAACCCTTAACTGCCCTAAACCCTAAACCCTAAACCCTAAACCCTAAACCCCTACGCTGTGAACTACAAGCTTTTTGTTTTCAACCCCGCCCAGATCTGAACTTCCGGGCTTGAGAGAGCTGGCAAACCCTAAACCCTACACCCTAAACCCTAAGTCTCGCATGTTTCAGGAAGCCCTTGTGCTAACTTGTTAGGGTCGGGGCCTTACAGTCTCCAGCGTGGATGCTTCCGGTAGATGAGGGGGCTTAGGGAATAGGGTTTAGGGTCTCAACGGTTGAGGGTGCCCCCCAAAACCGTCCACACTGCGAAGGCTTTGAAGGAGCTGCTAAATTGGCAATCCCAAAAGGTTAGGGGCAACCACATCCCAAAACTTGAGGCATTTCAAAACCTTAGACTCCAACAGTTCTGAACCTCCAACCCCGAAGCTAAGACCCAGAGCCCTATACTCGACGCTTCTGCGCCTCCCTCACACCAGTTCCAACTTCAACCCCCCCTAAACCCTAAACCCTAAACCCTAAACCCTAAACCCTAAACCCTATAACCCTATAACCCTATAAACCCTAAACCCTATAAACCCTGAACCCTAAGCCTAGGCACGGATGTGGCTGCCACCATCCTCTGCACGGCTGGGACCTCACTCAGTCCAGCTTGCGAGCTCTTGGTAGGGAGTTAGGAACTTGGGTTTAGGGTTTCTGGTTTAGGGTTTAGGGTTAGGGTTTAGGGTTTAGGGTTTAGGGCTTAGGGCTTAGGGCTTAGGGCTTAGGGCTTAGGGCTTAGGGCTTAGGGTTTAGGGTTTAGGGTCGTTAGGGTTTTCGTTACATGACCCAAATGAGCTGAGCCTGGGCATAGTGCATTTAGGACCCCACACCTGAACACTAGGGTTTTGGGTTCCGGGTTTAAACTTAAGATTTATAGGCTACATTGCCTAAACCCTAAACTCTAAACCCTAAACACTAAACACTAAACCCGACCGAAGCCTTTAACCCTAAATTTATATGGCTTAAGAGTCCTCTGCCGTTGCCCTTCACCCTGATGTTTCACACAGGTCGATAGGGTTTCGGGGTTAGGCAGCAATTTTCAGGTTCAAAAGGGTTTAGGGTTTGGATTTTGGGGTTTAGGGGTTAGGGTTTAAGGCTTAGGGTAGGGTTTGGATGGGGTTCTTTCTAAGGTTGCGGTTGCAGCAACCCCCCGGATGCTTCTTGCTTGCTGCAGCCACTTACCTGGGTAGGATGGCCAAGTGTTGAAGCTCACAATTCTCTACATCACACCCCTGAAGCTGCTGTAGGAAGTGGGGGATCCCGCGGCAGGCGCCTTGTAAGGCCCCCAAGGACTCAATGGCTCCAGGGGGTGATCTGAAGTCTGGCATGTAGCCGGCTGCGCGAAACAGCCATGGCACAAATGCTGCGCATTTGGAGCAACAGCGGGGAGTGCGAGCAGATCCCCTTGGAGCCAGGGCTGTGGTTTGGGACTTCACGAGTGGGAGGTTTGTAGGTTTTCCAGGAATTGAAGAAGGTGATCCCCCCAAAGGGGTATGTGGGGAGTTGTAGGGATTCTGAGGCCCACGATCCCAGCTTCTTGGGGTTTACCTGAGCCCGAAACCTTCAACATTCGCAACCCTGCAGGCCCCGAAGCGGCCTGCGCGAGGGTCGAAGCCCTACACCCTCTTTGGGAACTCACTGAGTTTTTAGGGTTTAGTTTCGAGGGTGCCCGGGCGTGATGCTGAAAGCCTGATGCGAAAAAAGGGGCTAGGGTAAGTCCCCCCCCCCCCCCCCGGGTGTTCGGGTTTGGGGCAGACCAAAAGTTAAGGAGCCTTCGAAGCCTAATTCAGGTTGCAGAAAACAGAGAGTCCAGCCGCAAAGCCACATGTGCGGTTTTCTCTTAGTTTAGAGACTTTCTGGAGCCAACCTCCAACAGCGTGGCGGCACAGATGTGCTCGCCTACAAGTCCACTTCATTGCCACATCAACGAATCAGTTGAGTGGCCTTTCATGCCCATGTGTCTCAACACGAGGCTTGACCTGACCTTACCTAACCTGACCCCTCACCCTAAACCCTAAACCCTAGATTATACCCTAAACCCTAAACCCTCAGGGTTTAGGAGACTTCAGTTTCATCTGAATGGTGCACTGTGTGTGTTATCGGCTACAAGCAGACGAACTTGATGTTCTGTCACAGCTTTGTTTTCGTCAACACCCTAATCCTTCAACCCGAAGCCCCCTAAGTAAACCCTAAACCCTAAGCAGAAGGCACTGTGGAAGCCCCCAAGGAGCATGATACCTCGACGGGTCTGCTTGGCCAGTCCGTGAAGACCCTGAAGACGCTGCGCCTAAAGTTTATAAGGCTTAGGTTGCTCATGTGGTCACTTCTCTAACCTTGTATAAGAGGGGCCGCATCCATACTCTAGTGAAGTGACCATTTGCGTTGAGTTTAGTGTGTTGTTGTGCCTTTTGCGTCATTGCTCTGGATGATCAGGGCCAAAAAAGGAGCCCAAACCCTGAAACCCTTGCTGCGTTGCTGTTCTGTGGAAACATACTATACTCCCTCTGGCTATGTAGATCTAAACCCTAAACCCTAAACCCCAAAACCCTAAACCCTAAACCCTAAACCCTAAACCCTAAACCGCCACCTTCTCCCCAGTCCTGGGCCTTCGGTTACTCTGAGGCCAGGAAAGGCAGGGTTTGGAAGACCAGTTGCGCGTACCGACTGGCATATGGGAGTTTCCGAAGTTAGGGTTTAGGGTTTAGGGTTTAGGGTTTAGGGTTTAGGGTTTAGGGAGGGTTTAACTAGGGTTTTGGGTTTACGAAATTAGGGGTACCCTTATTGGGGTCCTACTCTTTGGGTCTATTTTAGGGCCCCTTATTTCGTAAACCCCCATATATCCTTTGAGCGCGAAGTCTCCTTTGGCAGACCTCTTCGTGGGTTACTTGTGAGAACAGTCCGGGCCCTGATGTTTGCAGTTGGGCTACCAAGCTTAGAAACCGAACGGGACAGGATGGGCCATCAGGCCTTACAATCCCCAAAATCAACCCTGTAAAGGGCCTTTTTCATGGATTCTACGTTGACAATAGCCCATCTGGTGCATGGCTGCTTTGTGTTTGGGGAGGATGAGATGGTTTGGTTTGCTCTCCGCTTTGGTCCATCTGCTGTTTTGTACGCAAGCACAGGCGAAGGCTTGCCCGAAACCCTGAAACCCGCTAGAGGCCAAAACCCTTCACCCAAAAAGGCCACCAACGCGGGTGACCAAAGAAAAACACCCAAAAGCCCCGGGCCCTGAACACTATAGACCCTATAGAAAACACCAATATGAACCCGACATACAAAACCCAATAAATACATAAACAAAGACACAAACAAAGAAATACATAGATAAAATTTTAAAATATAAAATATAAATATCAATATAAGTAGAAATATAAATATAAATATAAGTACAAATATAAATATGAATATAAATACATAAATAAAAAAATATAGAAAAACTAAACCTACAAAACCCTAAAGAACCAAAGCCCTCAACCGGTAAGGAAGCAGCTGCAGATGCGGTGCGGGATGCCGCGGTTTAGGCAGCGGATCACGCAAGGCGGCCCGTTTTGCCTACGCCAGGGGCTGGAATACTTGCTATCATGGTGTGCCTTTTATGGGGTCCTTTTTAGCCCTAAACCCTAAACCCTAAACCCTAAACCCTAAACCCTAAACCCTAAACCCTAAACCCTAAACCCTAAACCCTAAACCCTAAACCCTAAACCCTATTCAGATTTTTTAGGCCCCCATATTACTCCTGACCTCAAGTTGACCCTATTTGGGCTTCTAGGGCTTATAAGGGTTTAGGGTTTGCTGTGATCCCAAAACCCTAAACCCTAAATCCTAAACCCTAAACCCTAACCTCCTCCTGCCCCTACTTTCGGTTTTATGAGGGATTGAGGGCCCTGAGCCCCATTGAATCTCTATGTTCCGGGTTTGGGGTCTGGGTTGTATTTCCGGCATGAGTTCCCCAAAAGGCTATATGCCAGCCTTGCGCGTATTCTGCGTGTGACACAGGCAGCCTCTTGCTGGAGGATGACGTTCTTCTGGATGTGGCTGTGGATCTTCAACTGACTTTGCTGAGCTTCGAAAAGGTCACCAAGCAGGCGACTTGCTCAACTGCTAGGGGTTGGGCTTCTGATCCCTCCCCCCCCCCCCCCCCCACCTCCTGCCTCCATTTTAAAACCTTGGGGTGGCCTAGTTTCGGGTTTTCGGGTTTCAACCGGCTCTGGGGAGGGAGAGAGAGAGAGAGAGAGAGAGAGGGAGAGAGCGAAGAGAGTGAGTTTCAACCAGCCTCCCAAACCCCAAACGGTCCCAAACCGTCAGAAGCAAGGATCTGGACCGCATGAGGAAGGCGGCGGGCAATGGCAACCACAACGTCGTGGCGCCTTGGCTGACTCAACCCTAAACCCTGAACCCTAAGGAGCACGCACTCGGATGCCAAACAAAAACCCTCAAGCCTGAAACACCTCCCTCTCTCCCTCCCTCTCTCTCTCCCTCCCCTTCCCTCCCCTCCCCTCCCCTCCCCCTCCCCTCCCCCTCCCCCCCCCCCCCCTCCCTCCCTCCCTCCCTCCCTCCCTCTCTCTCTCTCTCTCTCTCTCTTTCCCTTCTCCCTGGCGAAACAGGACTGGGGCGAATTCTGAGATCCATCTGCTCTCCCTTGGTATCTATACACCATCCCTGAACTTCACCTCGCATGTTTGTCCCTTAGAGCCATGGTGGCCTTTTGAACTCTGGGGACGAAATTAAGGTCATATACCCTGACTACCATATTTCCGACTAAGGTATATGAACCATAAACCCTTTTGGGCTTCACTTCGTCCCCAAGGCATGCGTGTCTAGAGCAGAATTGCTGAACACTGTTGAGAGCCTGAACTTGCGTTGCATGAGATTCATTTGCGCGTGTGCGTGTGAAATAGGAGCGGCACCCACATGAATTTCATGCCCCACGTGGAGCGCATGCATGTGCATGAGTGAGCAACCCATCCCTCGTTAGTTAAATGTGTGCAGCCAGTTCCCTCAACCGAACTTGTACCCCTCAAATTGCGTGGCCTCACCACTGGATCCAAGCTGATAGCCTAGACTTGGTTGGTTGTGGTGGTCCGGTTTTTTCTGGCAGTGCTAGGCTAAGTCTCATGAAGTCCCTTGAAACACTGGATCTGGGTTAGAGTGGCCGATGATTACCCTAGATCTCCTGCAACCACTGCATCAGGTTCTGGCATGGTAGGGGCCAAGCACTCGGATATTATAGATGTTTCCCTAAACCCTAAACCCTAAAATATTGTACGTCTTCGTAGAAAGGTTGAGGACGGCAGTCTTAGGGTGGGATAACGTCGTCTAAATGGTCTAAATCCGCTTGTCTCTGAAGCACTTGAGTCGGGTTTAGCTTTTAGGGTTAACCCTAAGCCCTAAGCCCTAAACCCTAAACCCTAAACCCTAAACCCTAAACCCCTGCGGGTGGCAAAACACCCCAACGCTGTCCCAAGCCGGCAGCACCGACCTCTCCTAAGGAGAGACTGTTGCAGCGGCCAGTGGATCCCAACGTCATGGATAAGGACTTGGGGTGCCAGGTTTGGAGGTTTAGGGTTTAGGGTTGAGGGTTTAGGGTTGAGGGTTTAGAGTTTATAGGGTTTATAGGGTTCAGGGTTCAGGGTATAGGGTTTAGGGTTTAGGGTTTAGGGCCAGGATAGGGTTTTAGGGTCTATAGGTGTAGCGGCTTGTCGGCTCATTTAGGCCTATAACCTTATCAAACCTTGAAGCAACAGATTCCAATTTGTGCAAGGCTTATGCCTCTGACCTGAACTCCAAACCCGAAGCACCAAGGCCTGACCTCCCTATGGGTGGTTGTCAAAATTATGGTCCCTTTTTGGATCCCTTTTATAGTATGGCACCTCTTTTTTCGGGTACCCCAAAAAGGGATCATAATTTTTGACAGCCACCCATATCCTGAACCCCCGCCAATTAGACTTAAGACCTGAGGTCGGCCCGTTTACTCCCCTTTTTGTTAGAGTCTTGGCTCCCTTAGAAAGCCCGTTTAAACCAAAAAGGTTACCCTTTTTGTTCCTGGGTTGGGTCTAGTAACCCTAAACCCTAAACCCCTTTTATTCCTAGGTGACTCTTGGGTCTAGTTGTTCACCTCTGAATCCGAACCCCAAAGTCTGGCACTCATCTGCTCCTTGACCTGAACCCGAAGCCTTGTCTGCTGAAGCCCTGTACAGTAGCCCTGACACAGGAGTGAGGGTTGAGATTGTAGGGCTTGGGGTTTCGGAAGCTCGCAAGCCATACCCCGCCGCTCTCTCCAAGAAACCTGAGTCTGCAGGTGAAGGATTTAGGGTTTAGGGTTTAGGGTTTAGGGCAGCGGGATTTGTGCAGGGTTCGTTGTCCGAGGTTCAGGGCTTATTGCATTCAATGCAGGCCTTTGGATTGGGGCTTCTCGGTTTTGAAGGTGCTGGGGGTGTACCACGGGCTTGCTAAACCCTAACCCCGAAAACCTAAACCCTAAAAACTAAACCCTTGCGATGTTGACTTCCTGCTGGTTTGGGAAAGGGAATCAAGAGGACGGCGTGACTCCACTGCTTTGTGCTGCGGACGGTGGCTACGCGGAGGTGGTGCGGCTCTTGCTGCTTCACTGCATGAAGGTTTAGGGTTTAGGGTTTAGGGTTTAGGGTTTAGGGTTATTGCTGTTTTTTCTAGCACGTCCATAAGATCGTCCTGTTTAAGGACAGTTACTATCATTACTAACCCTACGTAGACCATACAGCTCTGAGCGACCGTCGACCCCCGCTTTTCAACCAATTGAACTTCCTTCTCAAAGGAACCCTATTTGGGTGTATGTATGTATGTATGTATGTATGTATGTGTGTATGTATGTATGTGTGTGTATGTGTGTGTATGTATATAGGATATTCCTATAGGGATATCAGGTACCGTAACGCAGAACTTCAAACTTCAAACATCCATTGTGAAGGCATAGCCAATGGAGGCTCTAGGGCTGCCTGGTTCTTCAGCAACCTCACGAAACCTGACCCCTCGCTAAGCCCGAAACCCTAAACCCTAAGCCCTACACCCTAAACCCTAAACCCTAAACCCTAAACCCTAAACCCTAAACCCTAAACCCTAAACCCTACTCTTTAAAGGCTCCAAAGTAGGCAGCTCCCCAGGTTGGAAGCATGGGCCGATGCCAACCATGCTTCTGTTCGCGGCCTTTCTCCTCTGAAGCAGGCGTTTGAGATGCTTGGCTCTCCACAGGGTTTAGGGTTTAGGGTTTAGGGTCTAGGGTTTAGGGTTCAAATGCTTCCCCGCACCTGCTCTCCCCTCTGCAGATGGGCCCACATATATGCCCTATATCGGCACCAGGACAACGAATTCTCTTGAGTTCCGCTTTGCGGGAGGTTGTGCGATCCGTACAGGGACCCTAAGGAGCCAATGGGATGCCGCAAATAATGTGAGGGTTTTAGGGGTCCAGGCTGTTGAGGGTTCTTAAGGGCAATCTTAGGGTTTAGGGTTTAGGATTTAGGGTCAGGGTGTTTAGGGCTTCTAGGGTTCCGGTGCTTGGGGAAAGTGTTGTCTATGGTCTTGCTTTGCCGGGAACTTTGGTCTTGTGGGGTTCTTAAGGGAGAGGGGGCGGGGAGGGAGTCTTCTAAACTAGTTCGGAGTTTCCAACTGTCCCCAATAGCCATCCGCCGGTCCCCCCTTTATCAGGGACCCGCGAATAAAGTGAGGGTTTTGGGTTTAGGTTTTGGGGTTTGGGGTTTAGGGTTTGGTGTTTAGGGTTTGGGATTTCGGGTCAGAGTTGTGTATTCTTGTCCTGGCAGTCGTTCACAGTCCAGTTGCACAAGGGTCGAGGCCTTCAGTCATCAACTTCCTGCTGCGGGCCCTAAACCCTCAACCCCAAACCCCAAACCCCAAACCCTAAACCCTAAACCCCAAACCCTAAACCCTAAACCCCAAACCCAAAACCTTACAACCCTAAACCCTAAACCTCCCCCCACAGAAACTGAGGAAGGGACATCAGCATGTCGTACAGCTGCTCTTGGGTGCGAGGGCAGATGCCAGCAACGTCGACTGCCGGGGCCTGTGTGGTGGAGACACCCTGTTGCCTTCCTCTTGGTAGATTTTCGGGTTTAGGGTTTAGGGTTTGGGGTTTAGGGTTTAGGGTTAGGGTTCAGGGTTTCAAGTTGTTTTTGTTTTGTTTGGTCCCCGAAGCCCACTTGTTAAGCCAAAGCGGTTAAGACCGCTTGTTTCGAGTTTCGGGGACCCGCTTGCCCAAACCCTAAACCCTAAACCCCAAACCCCAAACCCCAAACCCCAAACCCCAAACCCCAATCCCCAATCCCCAATCCCCAATCCCTAAACCCAAACCCTAAACCCTAAACCGCAGCAAGGTTGCACATTGCTGCGAAGATGGGCGAGCCGGGGGTGGTGAGCGCGGTGGTGCTCGGTAGGGCCGACCTGAATAGAACTGGGCCTCAGGGCAACACTGCCTTGTATGACGCCTCCTGCTAGTAGAGTAGGTAGCCTTTACTCTTGAATTGGGGTAGTATACTCTCCTTATAATCCCAAAGGTTAACCTTTGATTCCCCCAGGTTACTGGACAACTAAGGCCTCCTTCGCAGGGAATGGCGAAGCACTCGTCGCGCTCCTCCGAGCACGGGCGGACTTCAACAAGGGCGATGCGGATGAGTGCACACCCATCTGCAAGGCGGCAAGCGCAGGGCACGTTGCGATCGTGCGCTGCCTCTTGAAGGCTGGGCTTGATAGACCCATGCTGCTGAAGCTGGGTTTAAGGTTTAGGGTTTAGGGTTTAGGGTTTAGGGTTTAGGGTTTAGGCTGTTTTCTCATTAACTCCTTCGCCTGTCCCTCTCTCCCTCCCTTGTGAAGGTTGGGGCCGACTCCAACAAGCCAACCTACATCGGCGGCACTCCTCTTCAGGCAGCCGCCGCAGGGGGCTTCGTAGATGTCGTCAAGTGCTTGATGCAGGGCATGGCAGAACTGAACAGAGCCGATAAGACTGGCAGCACCTCTCTGCAGATTGCACCTGGGATGACTTACTAAAAATGTTTGATAGACCGGCCTATATGTATAAGACTTTCTTTCAAAACATTGGAATCCGATCTGATGTCATGCTCTGACCAGCATAGGCCTGCGCAAAAGGTCACGTGGAGATGGCCCGCCTGCTTCTGGACTACAAGGCTCACAAGAACAAGGCAGACAGATGTGGCCTTACGCCGCTTCACATTGCCTGCGGTCGATGCCTTGTGGACATCGTGCGCATGCTCCTCGAGGCGGGCGTCGACCTCAACAAGGCCGACAATTCGGGGGTCACCCCGCTGCAGACTGCTTCTGCGAAGGGATTTGTGGAAGTCGTGCGCATGCTGGTGTTGGCTGGGGCCGATGTGAACCAGGCCAGCTATCGTGGAAGCACTCCGTTGCACGAGGCGTGCTGGGGCGGTCATGTTGATGTGTTTGTCAACGGCCGCGGCCCTTTCGACGATGCTTCCGGGACCTGCCACGTGGCTATTGTGCGGTTGCTGCTAGAGGGGCAAGCTGATATCAACAAGCCCGACACCTGCACCTTTTTGAGCAAGGTTTCCCGTTTTTCGAATCAATGTCGCTGACTCACTCCACTGTTTTTTTTCACCCTCGGTGTGGGGTTGTTAGATTCTAAGCTTTTTTCCGGAACTTTTCTCCTCTCTTCTCCTCGCCCGGTCTACTCCTCGCTCATCCCAGTGCCCAACCCCAGAGTGTCCCCGGAGTGCCCAACCCCAGAGGGTGTTCCTGGAGTGCAGCCTCTGAGAGTCCCCGGCAGTTCCTAACCGAGAGTGTGTCCGGAGTGCCCAACCCCAGAGTGTCGCGGAGGGCCAGAGTGTCCTGGAGTGCCGCCCAACCCCAGAGTGGAGTGCCCAACCCCAGAGTATCTCTGCCCAGACAGGGTGGGGATGTTCGAAGTAAGAATTGTTTTTTGGGGGGGCGGGGGGAGCCGAAGCAAAGATATGCCATCACAAGCCCTACGACGCACCGCAAAGCTAAAGGCGAGGTCGTGGAAGGGAACCTGGTGTCAAAAGCGACTCAAGCTGAGGACCAGACTGGCAGCACAGCCCTTCACATAGCATCTGGCAGAGGAAACTTGGCTTTCTTCTGGCTGGCTCTTGGGACTTTTTTGTTTTTTTTTTTTTTTTTTTTTGGGGGGGGGGTTTTGGTAGAAACTGCAATAAGGGGCATAAACGTTAAGCTTTTCGGAGGGGTTCAGAAGTCAGCAAAGGAAATGTGGCGGTTGCCAGACTCCTCCTCTTCGCCGGGGCCGACATTCACAAGCTCAACAATCATGGTCACACACCAGTTCCTTAGTAGCTGAGTGAGTACACTTTACCCTTTTTGGTACACTTTACCCTTTTTGGGAGACTACAACTTCCTATAGAACTGAAAGTGTACCCTTCTTGGGGGCTTATGAACTCAGCAACCAAGCCCTAAACCCTAAACCCTAAACCCTAAACCCTAAACCCTAAACCCTAAACCCTAAACCCTAAGCCTTGGGGGTGGCACAAAAAATCCTAAGGTTCAGGTTGCACACAGCTGCAACTACGTTGAAGTTTTCCAACTCCTGTACAAGGCTGGGCCTGCTCTGGAAAGAGTGAGGCGGCAAGCTTGGGCACCTATGAAATGAAGGGTTTAGGGTTTAGGGTTTAGGGTTTAGGCTTTAGGGCTTAGGGTTTATAGGGTTTATAGGGTTTATAGGGTTTATAGGGTTTATAGGGTTTATAGGGTTTATAGGGTTTATAGGGTTTATAGGGTTTATAGGGTTTATAGGGTTTATAGGGTTATAGGGTTTATAGGGTTTATAGGGTTTATAGGGTTTATAGGGTTTATAGGGTTTATAGGGTTTATAGGGTTTATAGGGTTTATAGGGTTTAGGGTTAGACAGCCAACTCCGGGCCCTGCTCGGGTGAGACATCCTTTGTACTACTTCGCCTGCGAGCTGAAAAGATGCGCAGACGCACAAGGAAGACATCGTCTTGCAGCCCTGTAGCGTCCTGAACCGCTGTCATGGGTCGCTCTCTAACTCAAGCTTCCTTCTCAGCCTTTGTATAGGCCCGGCAACACATGCGAAACAGTACCTTCTGAAATTCATAGGGATATTAACAGAGCAGGGTATTTTGATCAAGGTTATGCTGGCCTGCGCTAACCCTTCATCAGCGGACGACGCAGCTGAAGTAAGGGAAACATCGTATGGCGAAGAACCAGCGAAGCTGTGGCGTTCAGGGCTCCAGTTCTTCGGTGCTGGTGGGCGGCGGCTGATTTTAATATGGTTGTAGCTGAACAGAACTGGGTAAGCGAACCTGAGGCTGCGAGAGGTTGCGGACGGTGTCTGAAGACACATCTCCGCCCTACTGGCGCTAATGACTGACTAATCGGGATGAAGGGATCGCGATATAGGGGGAGGAGAGAAGAACGCACACGCCAAAAGCATACGGAGAATCAGAAGGGACAGCACCCTAAACCCTAAACCCGAAGCCCCAAACCCAAAACCCTAAACCCTAAACCCTAAACCCTAAACCCTAAACCCCCTCGCCAAAGGTCTGCCTGTATTTCCTCTTCACCACTTGGCTGTCTGTCGGCTGGGTGGGCCGAGCCCGGAGGACCGAGAACCGCTTCGACGATGCCCAGGAACAGGGTTTGGGGTTTAGGGTTTAGGGTTTAGGGTTTAGGATTCAGGGTTTAGGGTTTAGGGTTTAGGGTTTAGGGTTCTGTGATAGAGAGAGGGTTTAGGGTTTAGGGTTCAGCTGGGACCCTCTTGACCTTGAGTTTTATATGAGTTCTACCTCCTAAGTAGAGGGTAGTTACCACTAAACTGTATGGAAATAAAGTCTCAGGTGCGGTTTAGGGTTTAGGGTTGAGGGCTCCGATGTTCAGCCTTTCGCAGGGCTTAGCCATGTGCTTTGGGAGGGTGGTTGTACGTCGGCTTCGGGGCACTCCTTTGACCTCCTTGAGAACTGGGTTGTGGTTTTGGGGTTTGGGTTATATGGGGGTTCAGTTGAGGTGCCCTCTTTGGCTTTTGGGGGCCCAACTAGCAGAACTAAAATGCAACGTCCTGCCCCCACCCCACAGCAGGCTTCCAGAAAAAAACAAGAGCTCAACAAAACCCACCGAAACGGTAAAACGCCTTTGCTTGTTGTCTTCTGTTGGTTGTCAAGGCCAGTGTACAGGCACTGCAGGACAGCAGGTTAGAGGTTAGTGGTGTAGGGCTTATGGTCTAGAGGTCTGCGGTTTAGGGCCCAGGTTGTCAGGGTTTCAGGGTTTGGGTGTTTATGGTAATTTTGGGGGGTCCACCGTTGAGGTGAAAGTCAGCTCCCGCGAAGCTTCAGGGCCGCAACTAAACCATTTTGTGATGAAAAGGCCCTTAAAGGGACCCCCATATAGAACAACCTCCCATAAACACCTTCTGCCAAACCCCTGATGATGGCTTGAGGCGACGCAGGCCAATGATGCCTTGCTGAATTGCCGCCCGTCATCAGTCAGAGGATGAGTGAGGACCATGTGGGTCCATTCCCCACGTTGGCAGTTTTGTTCTGGAGCTCTAAACCCTAAACCCTAAACCCCAAACCCTAAACCCTAAACCCTAAACACCTCATTTTCGTGTTCTATTTTGCTTTAAGTTCAGGCTGCACGTCCTGAAGCTTCAGCGCTATACACACGAGCTATAGCTGCCGAACCTCTGCTGTGAGCAAATTCGTGCTGAACGTCACCCTTCCAACGCTCGTGCCAACACGAGAGACGAAACCCCAGGGTTTAGGGTTTAGGGTTTAGGGTTTAGGGCACCCTGCAAGTAAGCAAGGCTGTGTAAGTCCGCGGATGGGTAGCATTCATACAGGAGGGCCACCTGAACAATACTGAAACATGCTGAGCAAGCCTCAGAAGCTCGACTTTGCGCGTGTCGAGGGGCTTAAAGGGATGGATCGGAAACCCTACACCGCCTAAACCCTAAACCCTAAACCCTAAACCCTAAACCCTAAACCCTAAACCCTAAACCCTAAACCCTATAAACCCTAAACCCTAAACCCTAAACCCTAAACCCTAAACCCTAAACCCTAAATCAAACAAAGGGGCCCTCTTAAGAGGTGAGCAGGTGCGCCTGCTGGCCGCCCAGCAGCGGGTCTTCCGCCGCTTCGGCCGTTTCTGGGGCGCGCTGCAACGAGGATCGCGGGGCCCCAGGGGGTGTAGATGGGTGTAGGGTTAGGGTTTAGGGTTTAGGGTTTAGGGTTCAGGGTTTATAGGGTTTATAGGGTTTAGGGTTTGTATAGGCCAGCAAAAACGGGTTTGTACGCTAAGCCGGTGTATATGGTCTTTAGAGGATGTAGGGTTTAGGGTGTGGAGGTTCAAAGACTCGCAGCATCAACCCATCGTAAACCCGAAACCCTAAACCCTAAACCCTAAACCCTAAACATGCGCGACCATCATCCTCACCATCCTGGGGGCTCCTGCACAGGCCAGCAGTCTTCTGATGTTGCGGCCACGGTCTTGGCCACCGGCCAGCAGGCCCTCGGCTTAGGAAGCCCAAGCCCTAGGGTCTTTATAGCGGTTTAGGGTTTAGGGTTTAGGGTTTAGGGTTTAGGGTTTAGGGTTTAGGGTTTAGGGTTTAGGGTTTAGGGTAACTACACGATGTTCAGGCTACCTGGGCTGACTGACTACTGGGCATTTCTTTCTCACTTCCCTCCCACGCAGCGCTTGCAGACTGGATCCTGACCCCCACCGTCTGCGTGGCTTCAAAGATCTGCGGGCCACATGAAATCGGTTGCTGCCAGAGAGCCATCTCAGGAAACACTAGAATGACACGTCCCTCTTCCCGCCTAACTCCCTCAGAAGTCCCGCTCCGTTTGTAGGGAGAGGGGGTGATGGGTGCTTTCCAACCTCGAGGAAGCCACGAAGCGGCTTTCAACCTAAACTGAAGACTGTCTCGCCAAATCTGAAACGGCATATTGAGGCAAACAGTTGAGCTTTTCAGGCCGAAACCCCGATGCAAACAAGGCAGTTTCGGGCACGATGCCTTCACCACACAGCCCCTACCTCCCTACCTTGGGGACCACATGAACCCTAAAATGGGGTTCATATACCCTGACTACGAAAATTCCTATTCAAGGGTATGTGAATCAGAAACTCTTCCCTTTTAGGCTCATTTAGTCCCCAAGCCCAAGGTATACAGCTGAGCTAAGCATGGCAGGCCATCACCGCCATCGGTCTCGGCGTGGCGCTGATGCTGGTGGCGCGCCGGGCTGGCTTCTCAGATCATGGTCTGGGCATTTCCCAAAATTTCATTACCTTAAACCCTATGCAAAATGCGATCATCCTCACTACAGGAACCCCCAAAATAGGGTACTCCCGATTTTCGGAAACCGTCCATGTCTCGAGCTTTTCTTGCAGTTCGGACGTGGCGCCTGCGGCATTTGAGTCGTCCCTGCCAAAACGGAGGCTTATAAGCGAGAGACAGATGGATGTAGCCAAGCTTTTTTTTCAAGGGGGTTCAGGATGTTTTTGGGGGTGGTATGAGGGACACTGGTTGCACAAGAACCAGTCCAAAAAATCTACAGATTCTCCCTGATTAGGGCAATATAGGGATTATTATTCTTATTTTTTTTTTTTTGGGGGGGGGGGTTCTTAAGCACATGGTAGAGGTTGAGCGCAATGTCGATGCATGCGGACAGATGGAAGACGGTTCAGCCTTACGGCTTGGAGTCTTCCATGAAGGGCCTTTGGTTTTCGTCGCTCCATAGGCCCGGCACCCTAAACCCTTACCCCCGTCCTCGACATCCGAACCACCTGGCGCGCGGCTGAGAGCAGGGCATGGAGGATTCTGACGCACTAGCTGCTGCAAGAGCGTGCGCTTTTTTCTCCAGGTTTTTGTGCAGGATGTGGCCGGGAAGCCTTAGCTAGCGTTCAAACTGCTCCCACCCCTCGTCAAACCTCCGCAAATGGGGCTTTAACTACGGCATTGGCCAAGTGCACGTGAGGTCTGTGGTGGCACGGCCTCGGTTGGCGATCTTCCCATGGTCCAAGGTGAGGGCTCGGCAGAGTAGAAGTAGAAATTTGAGTTCCCCGAACTTTGGATGGGGTTTGGTTGCCAGGGGCCTAGGATGTTTTTGGCATTCGGACTGAACACTTCAGGGATCTTCAGGGTCATGGGCTTTTGGTGTTTTAGCAGTCTCATCCAGGATCTTAGGGCTGATAAGAGTGGTTCGGAAGGGTCCCCAGCTGTATAGTACAGAGATACTTGAATGATGACACTGCTGGGGGGGGCCACGCCCACTGAGGGCGCGCAAACCCCCCGGTGGGCGGCTTGTTGCCCTGAGAAATCCCGGGTGCCAGAGCGACAGCTTGGTGCCGTCGACGAAGACTGCTTGGATCATGTTAAGTTATTGGAGCATTCTTCTGGGGCGTGCAAACCCCTGGAACCCGATCCCGAGCCCGCAAAGCTTAATCCTAAATCCCAAACCTGACCTGAGGAATGAGGACATAAATATTTCAGAACTCAATCCCAACGCAGTACATACATGGTTAGAATCACATCAATTTACAATTTAGATACTTTGCCATAGCAATACGTGACATGAGGCAAGAAGGAGGGCTTAGGTGGGCCCCTATAAGGCCCCAAAATGCTAGAAGAACGCTGTCATGACCTGAGACCCTCAGCCTACGAATCTTCTACGGGCCGTAAAGCATAGCCATAACCCGCAGCAACCCAATCAGTAGAGGCTCCAAGCCTTGAGTTGTGCTATACTATAGCTGTTGCAGTCCAGGCACCTATTGCAACTACTAGCTTGTAGGTAGAAGTAGAGTCCCAGGTAAAGGCCCAGACCCCTAAGCCCAAAAAGACCCGTAAACCCGTAAACCCGTAAACCCGTAAACCCGTAAACCCGTAAACCCGTAAACCCTAAACCCGCAACAAAGAGCTGGGCAGGTTTGGTGTCCCAACTCTGGGCACCGCTACAGTTCTTGGGCTTCTACATCCGGTGGGGCTCCGAGGGTTCAGGGTTGTGGGTTTTTTAGGGGTCAGGGTTTAGGGTTTAGGGTTAGGGATCAGGGGTTAGGGTTTAGGGTTTAGGATGTAGGGTTTCGCGTGTCGAAGTGCTTGAGGTTTCGAGTTGGAGTTAGAGTTGGGGGGTTTTTGGGGCTTGGGGCTTGGAGCTTGAGGTTTGGTAGGGGTCATCTAGAGAGAAAGAGTTTTGGACATCGGTGCTTGCGTACAGCGGTGCTCCCTGCATCTTGCTTCAAGGAAACCTGCTCTGAACTGAGGTCATAGTCATAGTGACATCTACAAGACGCAAACGTCCTGCGGTCCACAAGGTGTATACTTTATACTACTCCAGGTCTCAGAAGGGCTGTAGTTGATTCTCGTGTGGACATGACAAAACCCCAATGGGAAACAACAGGGTCATACAACGGCTGCGCGGGCAACACGACCCACAATATCAAACAAATACTCATGACAGTCTAAGTCTGAAATGTAGCAAGAGTAGTATATATATAATATAATATGAATAAACATTTATATGTACACATATAATCGCAGCAGTAGTAATAGGAAATAAGAATCATAAGTTAAGCCTATGCTTTTGCCATGACATTCTTCCCCAGCCGAAGCTATTGGCTGTGTTTGCTGGCTGTCTCCAGTGTGGCAGAGAATGACACAAACGAAACCGTGAACACTGTGAACGCGTCAGAGAACGTGTCCACAACGAGTCACATCACTTCGGCTTGTCATATCAAGTGCGACGGGCTCTCGGAGTTGCAGGTGGACTTGTACGATCTGCGTCTCAGGCAAGCGTCCGGGGAGGAAGTCTCCTTGCTGGAGCAGTGCATGACGGTTCAGAAGCACGCCGACGTGGTGAAGTGCATCATGCATGGGGATGGCCTTTCCGAGGCCAGCTGTGTGCAAGCCAATGAAGAGCTTGAGGTTCTGAGAGCCAACTGCGTCCTGGTCGGCCGGGATATCCTGGCCCCATTGGTCGAGAGCCTTGGCAACCCAGTGGTATCCTTTACCCTTTTGTTTTTGGGTTATGGCCCTTATGAAGTAACCAACCCCAAAAAGGGTGCCCTTATTTATAAGATGGTTTCTGGGCTACCAAGGAGTACTTATACACCGACAAGGTGCACACATTGCATGCCGGCCTCCGGAGCCCTTCTTCGCGAGGTCCTGCGAACCTTGGGAACGACATGAACCCTAAAATTGGGGTCATATACCCTGACTGCTATATTTCCTATTAAGGCTATATGAACCATAAACCCTTTTAGGGCTCATTAAGTCCCCAAGGAATTGGTTTGCTGGAGTGCGAGGACCTCTGCGAGATGGACCTCGGCTGCCGAGGTTTCGACTACGACACCATTCGCGGCCTGTGCAGGACTTGGGGCATCTGCCCGACTTTCGCCCGATCCGATCAAAACGGCTGCCAGTGGACCGTCTACGATCAGCCGGGCCAGTCCACGCGACCAACCACCTCCCGTCCCGAGGTCAACATGTCCAGTAGCACTTCGCGGGAGCCGAACAGAGCCTTGGGCACAAAATGAACCCAAAAATTGGGGCCATATACCCTATACTACTGTAGTTCCTATTAAGGCAATATGAACCTAAACCCTTTTAGGGTTCATTTGGTCCCCAAGGAGCGGTCGCCGTCAGCGATGCGGTTGCGCCATCCCTTCGGGGCGTCATCGTCTCAGTGGCCTTTGTGCTGTCGATCTCCTCCGCGCATGTGTGAGGGGTGTACCTGCCGAAGGGCAAACTCCATCCTATCACGCAGCAGACAAGTATGAGGGAGAGAGAGAACCCTAACACCCCAAGCCCGAAACACCTAAACCCTAAACCCTTTCTTGATTCGCGCCGAAGCTGCGAATCACGTCAAGCGCACAGCGGCGCTGTGAACAGCGCATGCAGCAGCTGTGAGCCAGATCTTACAAAAGGGAGGAGACTGCATTCCTGAACGTGTGCTGGCTGCAAGACGTGTAGGCCCACCCCCTGCCCCCCGCGAGAGTTCAAGCAAAAGTGATGGTATTCGGGTTTAGGGTTTAGGGTTTAGGGTTCACTATGGCTTCAGAAGCCTCGAGCTTGAATCCAGCTCCTTGCCTTCTCGCTGCCACCGCTTGACAAGGGTTCGAATTGCTCCCCACCACGACCAAGCCTGGGTGTTTGAAATGCATCAAGTCACCAAGCGGTTTAGGGTTTACCCTAAACCCTAAACCCTAAACCCCAAAACCTAAACCCTAAACCCTAAGGGTTAACAAAAAAAAGGGCCCGGGCCCCAATGCAGCAGTCCCTGAAGGCAGGCGCGACAGGCCCTCGTCGATTTGGAAGATGCCAGGACGCATCTTGCTTCTGAGTTTTTTGGGGGGAGGTGGCGGGGGAGGGGGGCGGGGTGGAGGGGAGGGGCAGTTTATCCTTTCGGATTTGGGTTTAGGCTTCTGACTGGGAGTGGCTTGGAGGTTCATGGCTACTTCTCTGGTTATAACCATATTTACACCCGACGTATACCCATGAACCTCCCCCGGGAGCGCGACATAGGAGCTTGCAGACGGGAAGGGCTTCAAAGTTAAGGGTATCAGTCGGGGCATTTGGGTCCCTGTCATGAATCACAAGAAGGGCTATGTTGATGTAAGGTACCTAGTGGGTGCACCGCTTTCGGAAAACAACAATATGTTCCCCTGTGGCGCAGACTAGGTAAACGGCTCCGTCCGCCAAAGCTTGGTGGTCAGTGGTGCCCTTGTACCCTGTTTGGGTTCTACAGTAGGTCATAACTAACCAACCCCAAAACGGGTACCCTTACTGTGAAATGGTCACTGGCAGTCACTGGGCTACCAAGAAAAACTCCGGCTGGCCGTTTCAAGAACTTCGGAGGTACGGCTCATTTGAAAGACACATGGCCAGACACTCTGCTTGTGTTCTAGGTTGCCAGGTACCGTAAGCCTAAGCCTTAAGCCTCTAAAACCCTAACCCCTAAACCCCTTGAGCCCTACATTTTGTACACGGCAATCTGCAAGTTTTCTCACTTTCGATCTGCATCTGTGCGCACTTTGAAACCCTAGATAACCCCAAATACACCTAAAACCCCAAAGAACCCTAAAACCTTCGAACACATTGTAACCCTAAACCCCCTAAACAACCCTAACTACCCCTAAGTACCCCCCCCCCCCAAAAAAAAAAAAAAAAAAAACCTAATAGCCCCATAAACAAATCCCATTTACGACCCCAACAAAAAACCCTAAAACACCCCAACAGTCCCTGGAAAATCCCCTATAAGAAGGACTCGACATCCCCCGAAAACCCTCAGCCCTCAACCCTAAACCCTAAACCCGAAACCCTAAACCCCAAACCCTAAACCCTACACCCTAAACCCGAAACCCTAAACCCCAAACCCTCAGGTTGCTCAACCGCCCCACCTCCGAGTTGGAGGCTGCTGAGTCTCTGGAGCGGAGGCAAGGGCTTAGGACTTTGTGGTGCTTTACTGTAACTTTACATCTTGACTCGGTGGTTTAGGGTTTAGGGTTTAGGGTTTAGGGGTTTAGGGTTTAAGGTTTGTGGTGCTCTACTGTAACTCTACATCTTTAGCCTTTTTGGCTTTATTGGGTTTGTTAATAAGGCAGCTAAAAGTTTCTTTTTTTTGCTACCCTCCTAAGTGCAGCCAAGAGGAGTTCAGGTTCAGGTTTTTTCTTTGTGGTTTTTTATTCATCGCTTCTTTTTTTGGGGTTTAGGGTTTAGGGTTTTAGGGTTTTAGGGTTTTGGGGTTTTGGGGTTTTGGGGTTTTAGGGTTTTAGGGTCTTTGCAAAAAGGGTTTCGTCAGGGAGGAGTTTTGGTGGTTTAGGGGTTTGGTGGGGTTTGGTGTGTAGGGTGGGTTTATTCGGGGTTTAGGCAGGTTGAGGTAGTTTGCGGTTAGAGGGCTCGAAGATAGATTCCCGGTTACGTGCTTGAAGACTGGTACGGTTTTTTTTGTAGAGCGCCGCCAGAAGTCTTGTGATGCAAGTGCGCTAAGTGAAGTGGGGCAAGCGGGACAAGTGGCAGAAATTGTAGTATGTCCACTTGATCTGCCAAGTTCATCATCCCCCATGCACCCTACATAGTCCTAACTGTAAGCAGAAGTCAACTACTAAACCCTAAACCCTAAACCCTTAAACTCCCAGACCGCCCAAACTCTTCAACCCCAAAGGCCGCCACTGCAATCCTAAGCCCGTTCTGCGGGTGGGAAACAAGCTATAAACACTCTTTGTCCCCCCCATGTAAGTCCTCGAACCCCAAAACCCTTCAGCACTACGACTGTTGTCCGGGCTTCCCTAAACCCTAAACCCTAAACCCTAAACTCAGGGCTTCTCAAAACCCTAAACCCTGGCATTTTTTGAAGGCAGCTGGATGCGGACTCTGCGGCCAAGGTGCTGACGAACCTACCTGCGGCGGCTCCAGGCGTGTCGCACCCGTAAACCATCAATGGTTTTTAGGGTTCAGTTAGGGTTTAAGTTTAGCATTCAGGGTTCAGCAAGAAGGGTTTTTGGATTTGTCTGATGCAAAAGTGAAGGGCGTTGTCCGTGTAGTAGGGTTTTGGGTTTGGGTTGACAGGTGCAGGGCTTTGGTGCAGGATTGCTGGGGCGTAGGATTTGGGGGGGGTTCCTTAGGGTATTTGCATGGTCCCTTTAGTGGGGACCCCTTGTCTTCCCCAAGTATAACCCCTAAACCCTCAACCCGAAACCCTAAACCCTAAACCCTCAACCCTAAACCCTAAAGGAGGTCAGGGACCACATTCAGGGGCCATGGAACTTTCCTTCGCAAATTTGGTGCGTTGAGGCCCATGCACGCTGACCCCCTCCTTGGCCTCGTAATGAGCCAGAAATCAGCGCTGGTTCTCAGCCCAAAAAAGAAGGGTGTAGGCTTCAATCAGGGTTCAAAGGTTCAATTCAATGGGTTTCAAGTCGAACTTCTGCGGGCGTCCGTCTGTTCGGGTTTGAGGCTGGGAGGCTGATTAGATGGTATTTGGAGAGGGCTCTCCGTGTGATCTAAGATCTGTTGCGAGTGTGGGGGGTGTTTCTGCTTGTGAGGTTTGCTGTTTTCGGGGCTCTGGGTTTAGGATTTCTAGGACAGCCTTAGTTTATAACCCCAAGCTCAAACCCTAAACCCTAGATCGAGTAGGGCTTAAAAGGGTCAACCTAAGCACATGGTTTTATTCCTGACGCATCCAAGCAGGATGCTGTGAGCCGAAATAGAAATCAAACGCCCCGCCCCCACTGGAAACTCCTTTTCCTGCTTGAGCTGGAAAGGCCCCCATCCCACTGATGCTCGTGAGGCTCGCCTATCTGCCTGAGCTGGGAAGGCTTCATCTCACTGATGCCTGATCGCCTTTGTCTTTGCTTGGGTTGGAAAGCCCCCAGCCACTGGTGCCCCCCACTGATGCCCATGGTGCTGGCAAAGGCCCCATATCATTGATTCCTCATCGCCAGCGAGCATCATGGGTATCAGTGGGCTGGGGGGCTTTCCAACCCAAGCAGGGACAGGGAGCATCATGAGATGGGGCCTTTCCATCGTGGGCATCGGTGGGGGGGGGGACCTTCCGGCACAGACGGGCAAGCGAGCATCATGGGCATCAGCCGGTCCTTTCCGGCGCAGGCGGGCAAGCGAGCATCATGGGCATCAGTGGGGGGGACCTTTCCGGCACAGGCGGGCAAACGAGCATCATGGGCACCAGTCGGCTAGGTCCTTTCCGGCGCAGCCGGGCAAGCGAGCATCATGGGCATCGGTGGGGCTGGGGCTTTCAAACCCTAGCATAAGCATCGCTGGGGCAGGGCCTCTTCAGCACAGGCGATGAGGCATCACTGAGATGGGACCTTTCCAACATCGGGGCCAGCGGGCGGGGCCTTTCCAGGTCCTTTCCGGCGCAGGCGGGCAAGCGAGCATCATGGGCATCAGTGGCCTGTGGCTTCCCAACCCACGCAGGGACAGGGAGCATCATGAGCATCATGGGGGCGGGGCCTCTCCAGCACAGATGATGAGGCGAGATGAGGCCTTTCCAGGACCTTTCTTTCCGGCACAGGCGGGCAAGCGAGCATCATGGGCATCAGTCGGCCAGGTCCTTTCCGGCGCAGGCGGGCAAGCGAGCATCATGAGCACCACTGGGGCAGGGCCTCTTCAGCACAGGCATAGATGGGGCCTTTCTAGCACATGGGCATCAGTGGGGGACCTTCCGGCACAGACAGGCAAGCGAGCATCATGGGCATCAGTCGGCCAGGTCCTTTCCGCCGCAGGCGGGCAAGCGAGCATCATGGGCATCAGTGGGGGGGACCTTTCCGGCACAGGCGGGCAAACGAGCATCATGGGCACCAGTCGGCTAGGTCCTTTCCGGCGCAGCCGGGCAAGCGAGCATCATGGGCATCGGTGGGGCTGGGGGCTTTCCAACCCTAGCATAAGCATCGCTGGGGCAGGGCCTCTGCAGCACAGGGAGGCATCACTGAGATGGGACCTTTCCAGCGTCGTGGGTCAGCGGGGGGGGGGACCTTTCCGGCACAGACGGGCAAGCGAGCATCATGGGCATCAGTCGGCCAGGTCCTTTCCGGCGCAGGCGGGCAAGCGATCATCATGGGCATCAGTCGGCCAGGTGCTTTCCGGCGCAGGCCGGCAAGCGAGCATCGTGGGCATCAGTGTGCTGCGTTGCGGCTTCCCAACCCAAAGCAGGGACAGGGAGCATCATGAGCATCATTGGGGCAGGGCCTCTCCAGCAGAGATGCGGCCTTTCCAGCATCATGGGCAGCCGCAGTGATGCTCATGATGCTCTTTGTCCGTGCTTGGGTTGGAGAGCCCCTATCCCCCTGATGCCCATGATGCTCGCTTTGGCCCTGCCCCAGTGATGCTCATGATGCTCGTTGTCTTTGCTTGGGTTGGGAAGCCTTCCCCCAGCCCGCTGATGCACATGATGATGCCTGCGCTGGAAAGGACCTGGCCGACTGATGCCCATGATGCTCGCTTGCCCGTCTGTGCCGGAAACGCAGTGATGCTGATGCTCCCTGTCCCTGCTTGGATTGGAAAGCCCCCATCCCACTGATGCCCATGATGCTCGGTTTCCTGCTTGAGCTGGAAAGGCCCCCCATCCCACTGATGCTCGTGAGGCTCGCCTGTCCGCCTGAGCTGGGAAGGCTCCATCCCACGGATGCTTGATCGCCTGCGCTGGAGAGGCATGATGCTTCCCTCACCTGCATGGGCTTCCAACACCCCTGCACCGGAAAGGCCCGGATCTCACTGATCGCCTGAGGGAGAGGCCCTGCGCGACTGATGCCCATGATGCTCCTTTGAACTGCTTGCTGACAGAGCAAGCAGCAGCCAACTACACCAAAAAGGCATCCGAAAGCTGCAAATTCGGACCCAGCTTTCCATTTGCGGCTGACGCAGCCCCTGGATAGTTTCTCTGCAACAAAAACCGCAAGGGCGGGCGAAAGGAGCAGGACGGAACAGATCCCTAGGCCCTGAACACCGCCAGGCTGCCCGCTGGTGGAGTTCCGCGACGTGCATCATCCTCAGTGCCCAGCGGCCAACACACCCATCCAGTTGGTGCGGCTTTAGAGGATCAGCGGGTTGAAATGTTGTGGCAGTGTCTACTACGATTACTAGTGTCAATCTCATATTTAATAATCGCTTCCAAAGACTCAATCCCCTCCCTGGGCCCTGGGCCGTCTATTGCCGGGGGGCCCTTCTCTGGCTTATATGTTTAGGGCCTCTAGCATATAAGCTCCACGCCCTACCAGTCTCAAGTTTAGGCCCCAGGCCCTGCAGTCTCTGGCTCAAGGCTACAGCCCCTGCAGGCTCTTGGGGCCAAAAACTCAGAATCGTTTCGCCATGCACCCTATAAGCAAGAAACCCATTTCAAATTCAGCGATTGAAGCCGTTTTCGTGGCATGTGTGGAATGGATATCTAAGATATGACCTCGACAATCAAAAAGGTCGAATCCTGATCCTGCAAGAATCATGCGTGCACGCCCACTAAATTGCTCTGCCAAATTCATCGGATGTAAGGACTCCGTAAGGATTGATCCCTAAACGGTGCTTGCACTTAAACGACTTCTTCTCTTTACCGTCTAGGGGTCGCTAAGCTAATGCTAAATTGGGATCCTAGGACCGGGAGTAATATAGGCCCTTATGTCCTCTTGGACCGGGAGTAGGCCCTTATTTCCTCTTGATAATCCCCTTAAAACCAAGAAGGGTGCCCTTGTTATTGCTAGGTTACTCCTGGGCCTAGGATCTGCAACTTCCACATCGCACAGCTTCGCAACAAAGCTCTGGTCCCCCTCTCCCAGAAGAAGCCCTTAATCGGGACTGGGTCAGGGAGCAAACTGGCGACTGATGCTAACCTCATACTTATCAACCCAGCCTCAATTAAGAAACCTCAGTCCCAGGTGTTTTTTTACAGAGCTCTGAGCCAGAGACTCCGCGCATGTGCCTAGGTGGTTCCGCTATGACAGCCATCTGCCTTGGACTCTACAGGATTGCATCGTGCAGCTCTTTTCGGGTTTCTGGCGCTTCGACTTCTTGAGATCCCCCGAGCCTAAACCCTAAACCCTAAACCGCACAAGCAACAACACTGCAGACATTGAATGTGGGGTTTTGGCCCAAGAGTTGTTCATGAAGACATTGACGACTTTGTGAGAACTGAGCTGTCACAACATAAGTAAACCACTGCGAACGAAGAGGTGGGGGTAAACCCGGAACCTGGAAAGGTTTAGGGTTTTGGGTTTACGTAGGGTTAAGCCCTAAACCAAATCTTGAAGTCTGTGACACTCTCACGCCATTCGCACAGCTACAGCCGCCTTTGCCCTGAAGTCTCGTGTGTGAGTCCTAAACTGGACAGCCTGCCTTGAGACCATGAATCCTAATCCTGAACCCCGAACCCTACACTCTGTATGCTAAACCCTAAACCCTAGCTCTGTAAACGCGAATTTCTACACCCTAAACTCTGTAAACCCTAAACCCTAAACCCCGAACCCTGGACGACTCGAAGGGCTTGTCTTTCTGCATCCAGCCGGGCGAGTTCTTCGCGATCGTGGGCCCTTCTGGTGACGCGGTTCGGGACCACACCCTCTTTAAAGGGTGGGTTTAGGGCTTAGGGTTTTAGGGTGCAGGGTTTAGGGTTTGTGGCTGAGGGCGCTATGATGTCTATGTCCTTTTGCCCTTCTCGGGTTTGGAGCTCTGACTGATGACGCGTTTAGGGTTTAGTGATTTAGGATGGCTTCGAAAGCGTGTTGAAACAAAGGGTTGGCGCTGCCTGACCTCGAACATTGACTGATTTGCCTTGCCTGCCTGAGCGTCGAAACCTACCTTACACCCTGAGCTTAAAGTAAAAACCCGAAACTGGGATTCACATCGTGGTCGTCCCGAGTATGCATTGCCTGAAAAGTGGATGTCGTTTCCACTTTAGGATCGAGGAAAAACAAAATCTCAGAATCTCAGCCCTAAGCACTTATTTGCTTTAACGAGAGTCAGCGCCGAAACCCGAAACCCTATCACCCAGGTGATGTACGAACAGGCAAGTCTCTGGAATCTTGTGTAGGGTGCACGCCCTTGTGAGTGGATGGAGGATGTGTCTGTTTGTGGTTTGTTATGGGCGCGTGCCGAAATATGCCATGTGCCCTGCAATGTGGACTTCCGTTCAGCTAGGCGGGAGGTACAAATAACCATAGCCCTAAACCTCAGCATTTATGGCAGACGACAATTCTCGGGGACCCCAAAAATTAAAATAGACCGAAAATTGCAGGATTCCTTTAGAATAAGGACCCAATAATGTACCCCAATTTCGGGAACCCCATCATATGGGTAGTTCTCTGAATTAGCGTCCCTTTTTGAGGGCCCTCTATATAGCACGGCACTTCCGAAACCCTAAACCCTAAACCCTAAACCCTAAAACCTAAACCCTAAACCCATATCTTTAACCCAGGCAGTGGGAAGAGTTCCTTGGGCCGTCTCGTCCCACGGCTCTTCGACACCTGTAAAGGCCAGGGGCGTGTGTGCTTGCGGAGTCTACCATTCAGACTGGTAGGGGGTTTAGGGTTTAGGGTTTAGGCTTGAAGGTTTAGGGTTTAGGGTTTAGGGCTAGCCCTAACCCCTAAACCCTCCAGTAGCGTTTGGTTTAAGAGGGAAACCATGCTACCAGCGTCTCGATATCCTAGCACCCGAAGAGCCTTATTCAATTAAGGGTTTAGGGTTTAGGGTTTAGGGTTTAGGCCGGCACCTCAGAGAGTTAGGGTTTAGGGTTTAGGGCAAAGTTTAGCGTTTAAGGGGTTTGGGTGACCCCAAGTTATCAGCCCCCCGTTCTCCCACAACCAGAATGTAAACACCATTGCGCACAACACTTACCAAGCCCTTTTCCCCCCAACCCGAATCCCTAAACCCTAAGCCCTAAACCCCCTCTTTGGCAGGCAGCGTCCTCTTCAATGGTGTGGATGTCCGTCACCTCCAACTCTCTGAGCTGCGGGGTCGACTTGCTGTTGTCCCCCAGGCAGGTGATTTCGGGAACTTTAGGGTTTAGGGCTTAGGGCTTAGGGTTAGGGCCTAAACTCTAAACCCTAAAAGAGTTCGGGGGGGCACGAGGTTGGCGGGGTTCGGGTTCGGGTGTATTGTGGCTCAAGGTTCGGGGAGAGCGTAGGCAGCGGGTCGGTTTTTGCTGAGGCACAGGGTTTAGGGTTCTTTGAGTTTGTGGCAGTTTGCACCCTGTTCTGGGGTGCACGTTTGGGCCCCCTTGGAAGGCGGCACCCCCATGTTTGAAAGGAGTTCTGAACGAACCTTCTGCAGGTTTTGAGTTGTGCGGGGGGGGGGGGGGGGGGGGGGGGGGGGGGGGGGGCGCACCTTATGCACCTAAACCCTAGAAACCCGAAGCCTTGTGAACCAAAAGGCCCTAAAGCCTAAACCCTACACCTGATCCGGTTCCTGCAGGACGTCGTGGTATTCAACGCAAGCCTTTTGCAGAACCTCACCTTTGCACGCCCAGGGGCCTCCAAGGAGGACCTGTGTGGGTTTAGGGCTTAGGGCTTCGGGCGTAGGGTTTAGTTTAGGGTGTGTGTGTGTGTGTGGGTGGAAAGGGCATTTTTTGCGAGGGTGGAGTTGAGAATGCCTGGGACGTGGAGGGTTCAGGGCTTGCTGGCAGGCGAGTGCAATTCTGGCGCTTAAGCACAAGGACTGTGGGAAGTTGTTCAGCCAAAAGGTCTTAGAGAAAGTCTCGCGGCTCGGTGTTTGAAAGCCTGGTTAACTGAAAGTGCGGCTGATAGTCATGCAGGGACATTTTACTTCAGCCTGAACTGCCCTTTAGCTGACCCTAAACCCTAAACCCTAAACCCTAAACCCTAAACCCTAAACCCTAAACCCTAAACCCTAAACCCTCCTAAACCCTAAACCCTAAGCCCCGCGCGATGGTTCTGCACCATGAGCCTGGGTCTTCGGTAGCCCTGAACGACTCGCGACCCTCAACCACGGCCCCCCCGGTGGCCACGGCTGGAACTACTAATTGCTTTTGCTTAGGAGCCCCGAAAAAATAAAGAATGTTCTTCCTAATTGAGGGTAATTGCGTAAGAACCCCGAAAAAATGTAAGGAACATTCTTCCTAATTGAGGGTAATCTGAGGAACTTTTTTTTTTTTTTTACTCTTTTGGGGTTCTTATAAGGCAAATAGTAGGAAAGGTCCAGAGTTGGGATGTGCCCCCCTTATACTAACAGTCCTTCATAGGGATTCGAGTGCCCCTAGTAGAATCCCTATGAAGGGCTGTTGGCACAAGGGGGAACATCCCAAGTTCAGATGTTTAATGTTGAGGGTATAGGGTTCAGGGCTTAGGGTTTCGAATCCCGGCTTGCAGAGGAAGTGGAGACGGCGGTGCGAGCGAGTGGCTTAGCCCCTGCACTCCTATCGGGTGATGAAACTTGGCGGAGACAGGGGGATGCTCATGTAGACACATGTGCACATATATAAATATTTAGGAAAATATGACTTGCGTTTAGGGCATGTTGCCGAAGTAAAGAAGCAAGCTACGGTACATAGTCGTGCTTTTGGGTCAATGCATCTGGTACCCTAAACCCTGAAATCTAAACTCTCACCCCTACACAGCATGGACGCGTTGGGTTGTAGGGGACGTCTGAGGTTTGGACCCTGTCAAGCCTCCCTGAAGCCCTGAAGCAAGAGCACTAAAGCCCTAAAACCCCAAAGCATCCCGAAGCCCAGCACCCTTACACCATGTCACTGCAACATCAGTAACATCCCACAAGCCGATCAAAAACAAAGCACAAGACCATACAAACCCCGAGGCCCTAAGCCTCTAAAGCCCCCGAAGCAAGAGCACCAAAACCTTCAATGGATCTCCGGGGTCCCAGAACCCGAGAATACACCCTAAACCCTAAACCCTAAACCCTAAACCCTAAACCCTAAACCTGAGGAGGGAGGGCTCTCGCTGCAGTCCGCCGCTTGGACCCGACCTCCTTCTGATAGATGCCCGTAAGCAAGAACCCAAGACCTAATATCGGGGTCGGAATAATACCCTAAACCCTAAGCCCTAAACCCTAGTTACTAATGGTATTCCCGTAGGGTCTCTTCATAAATATACTACAATGACCCCCCAACACCCTATGCTCATTATTGAGGCCCTTGCATTATGCTTCCTTCAAGGCTGGGTAACCCTTTAACCTTTTTGGCTATCTAGAATCCGACTATCTGTCAAAGGTTAACCTTTCTTGGGCTAGGGGATTCGGCCTCGAGGCTTGTTTTTTGTAGGGTACTGAAGCCAAGAGCTTGGAGTTGTGGGTTTCTGGAAGGTTTCTTTTGTTGTTCTACCCGCAAGAAGGCCCTCCCCTCCCTTCAGGTTCCCCAATTCAGCAAGACAGGGCAGATGTTGTTTTCTCTTTTTGGGGGAGGGAGGGGGGGGGCACCTAAGAATCCGACAGGGGCATACCTGAAACCCTTAAACCCTAATCCTGGAATTGTAGGTTTTGGGGAGGGACCTGAACCCTAAATCTAAAATCCGAAAGCGCGCACAGCGCGGGCCCATGCCTTTTCACCCCTAGCTAAAGCTTGACGCTTGTGCCTCCATCGGCGATTTCGTGTGCAACGGCTCCTGTGGCTCATTGGATTGACACGGCTCAAAAACGAGCTTCTATGAACGGTAGTTTCACCGCTCCTGTTACATCTTTCCACCAAACATCCGGCTTCAGAGGCTTGGTGGCGATATCAGCAAATTGCCGATCAGTAGGCACCCAAGCCAATCTCCCTTGTCTTCTCAGATCTTGTCGGATGGCGGCCACATCGATGGCGAGTCGTCTGTCCGAGGGCACCCTCGGAACTCCCTCCTTGTGGAGGTGGTCGTACAAGGAACGGCAGTCGCTGATGTAGCGGAGATGTAGTCGGGCTGGTTCTCCTCTGCGTACGAGCCGTCCTTTTAGGAGGGTCTCCAGAAAGAGCTGGATGTACTCCCCATTTTCGACGGCCCCGGCACAGCCCATCGTCTCTGCCGCGAAAGTCGACCTGCAAACCCGATCGCAGGCGGAGCTCCTCCAGTCCAAGAGGCTGAGCTTCTCCGTCTTCCCGTACAGGATCTCCCGGTTCGCCAGAAAGAACATCCCTCCCAGCTGCGATGCGATCTTTGAGGTCCCGCGTTTCGCCTTTCTTTCCTTCTCGGCAAAAGGACCATCTCGAATCCTTCCTGCCTCCTCCTCTTCGGGGGTCAGCACATAGAAGGGATCTTCGGGATCTTGCGGAGCATTTGCCCAACCAGCGTCGTGATAGCAGAGGAGCACCGCATCATCGAGTCGTACAGGTCGTAGTCGTACTCCCTGCTCCTTGTGCTGCCTTGCCCGACGCGAAAGCACATTCGAGAACTTGATGTCACCGACAGTCGGATCCTTTTGTAGTTGCTGACACATCGACACTCCTGTTTGCAGGTCTGCCCTTGTCTGTCCAGCAAGCCACGACAAGGCCCCCACCAGCGACCTGTTGTCTGCCCTCTGCTCCTGCGTAGCGGCGTCCCCGTCAAGTTGTCCTGGGAGGATGTCCACTTCGAAGAGGCGCGTCTCGGTGTAGTTCGTCTGGGTGACCCTGACCTCTCCTTCCTCGCGATCGACTTCCACAAAGGACCCGATGTACTCGAAGAGATCGTCCTCCCAGTCGTCCACCGGGAAGGTCCGGGAGAGGGCTGTCTTCAGACGACCTAGCGTCTCCTTGTGGCCTATTCCCAGCAAATCGTCAACGTGGACCGCCAGGTATGCAAGAGGTTCACCGACCGGTATTCCCTCAGTGATCCTGCAGAGCTGGAATATACACGGGTCGAGTTCGCATTGCACCAGGCGCGCTTTGTCCCCGTCCGGGAGGTCCACATCCATCTCGGCCATCTCCTTGCTCAACTTTTTCCACCAGGAGTGGGGGGAGTCTACGAGCCCAAAGACTCCTTTGGTGAGCTTGATGAGCTGTTCGGGATGGAGGTTCCCGATGCCTCCTCGTGGCTGACGGATGTATAACTCACGACGAAGTTCTTCTCCGTTGAGAAAAGCAGCTGTGATGTCGCCAGCACATGCTCCCCACCCATCGCCGAGACGTGATGCGAGGATTTGCAAGAGGAGGAGCACACCCTGTCTCGAAACCGTCGGCGCCGAGGTATCCAGTCCCTTCTGGAGGTCTGGGTCAAGGTGGCCTCCAATGACGAGGCGCGCCTTGTGGCGCCATTCGATGTCAGGGAGTTTGCGCCGCTTGGACCAGTTCTTGTCCCGGTAGGCAAACCTGCTGGGCAGTACTCTGTCCCCCTTTTCAGCCAAGATCTTCCTGCTGGTCTCGACGTCCACAGGCTGCACGGCATTGTGGTCCACATGTTCCATCCACTGTTTTAGTTCTGCATCTCGAAAAGCCTGATGTTGTGACGGCGGGATCATGCTCCAGGGAAGCTCTTTTTCTAACTGTTTTTCGACTCCTCTCGGTGTCTTTGCCCTTCGAACCATATGAGCCGATTGGACTATCGGCGTCTTCCCCTTCATCTTTTTCCGCACGTTGCCATCGTGTCGATCATCTGGTGCCGGGCGAGGGAGTCCCTGGCCTGATGGTGATGACTCTGGTGGTGGGTGATCACGACTATCTTCAAAAGAGTCCTGTAGGATCATGGGCTCACCTTCGCCTTCCATTTCACCGCCAACCCTCTCCTCATCCTGGTGTTGCTCCTCGTTCACGTACATCTCGGGGTCACCCGGGTCGTACTCAAGAAGCTTTTCCAGGTCGTTCTTGGTGAGTCGCATCGACAAAGCCGTTCCAATCTCTTCATTCGTCGCCCTCCTGATGTGCTCCGGGGCGATGAGATGACATCGGCCTGCGAAGGATGCCCAGACGTTCCCGTTCTCATTGCCGATCACCGTGGCCGGGCCTCTCCACATCCATTCTTTGCTGTTCTTCGGCTTGCGATGGAAGTAGATAAGGTCACCTACTTGCACTTCACCCCTGGCGACACGTGCCCTTTGCAGAAGTGCCCTTCGTAGACGTTGGTCACCTTGGCATCGAAAATACGCCGTTCTGGCGGCAATGCGGATGCTATGTTCCCGTGCTCTTTGTTGGTCCGTAGTGAGGATGTGGTTCTGCTGTTCGGGGTCCTTGCCATCGATGAGGTCGCCAGGCACGTAGGGATCCTTTCCGTACACTGCTTGCGTCGGTGAGAAACCATCTTGTCTTCTCAATTCGTTCTTTGCAGCGTTCACGGCCGCAATCCCGAGCGCGGTGTCCACCTCAGTGATGTTCATGTCATCGCAGACCCTATTCCAGATCGCCTTCCACAGACCATTGTGTCTTTCCGTAGCACCAAGTTGCCAGTGGGCCTGTCCCGCAGCGCTCCTCAGCTTTGTGCCATTCCACATAGCGAACCTTGCCAGGCCGGCTTGAAGCCCGGTCTCCAGGTCCAAGGCCAGCACAGTAGGTCCACCAAAAGTCTTGGCCCAAATTTCGCAAAAGGTCTCCTCCATCGCCTGCGTACTGTGCCCCTTGAGCTCTCCCACCAGGTGGTAGGATGTGCCGTGGTCGTAGACAGACATCATCTCCCGCTTCTTTCCAGTGGAGTCCACGACCGTGAAGGCGTCCACCCCAACTACCATATTGAAAGAAAGTGCCGTGGGTAGCGATGCCGGCCGAGGTATCCCTCCTTGATTGCACCGATTGCAAGTTTCACACCGCAGTCGTTTGGAGGCGTTGATGACTTCTGTGCCGGCTCCTGCTAAACGGAGGTGTCGGGTCAGGTCACTCTCGGCGGGGTGACCCAAATTTTGGTGGAGGCGTTTGAGGGCTGAGGCAATCTCTGGTCGGACCGGATTTTCCCCCGGGAAGGAGATCGCTTGACTCCCCTGCCGGACTGCTGGACCACTTGTCTCCCTCCGGTTTTCTCCATGGACCATGTAGACCCGGAAGGCTTCCTCGTCCCCCTTAGTGACGGCTTCGTCCCACTCGCGGGTGGATCCGTTTACCTCCAAGATGCGGTTTCCTCCTTCGTTCTTCACGTAGACGATGTCCTCATCTCCGGTCAAGAGCTCCCGCACCATGTCGCTTTTGGTCCAGATCTCATGTGAAATCTCGGCCTCGATGACCAACCTCTTCCCTCGGGACACTTGTAGTGAAGCCATCTCTTCAACTTCAACAAGAGTGTCCAGCGCTCGTTCACCGTGGATCCACAATGTGTGAGGATGAAGCTCTTCGATCGACTCCTTTCCCAGGTCACGGTTGGTCAGAAGGTCCTCATACATGATCGGCTCTGCGGTGATGCCGCCGTGGTCAATGGCCTTAAAGGTCTTGTCCATTCCTCCAATCTCCAGCAACGTCACGGTGTTCTCGGCAGGGCCTTGCCACGGCTCCAAGTAGGTGGATGCTGCCAACACTGTCCATGTAGCCAGTGCTCCAAGACGCTTTGCCATTCGCCCGAGCTGCCCTCTAATGCTCTTCTTTGGCCTATGATCGGCCTCTGCACTGATTCCCTTCAGAGGGAACCTAAGGCTCCGTAGACGTTCCTTCAGGGTCCAGTCCGCCTTGAGGATGTTCCGGGTGGTGTAGAAGGTCAAAACCCATCTGTCTCCGGTCCACGGCTGGGTCGCGTGCGGTCTCTTTGGGTCCAGTGCATAAAGGATCTCCTTGGTGTCGATGCATTGACCACGAAGTACTTTGCCGCTGGAGTCAGTCCTCCA